TATATGATCTGATTAATAGCGTGAAAAATTGTTCCATATTTTGTAGAGAATATTGTGAATGTCTAGATCGAAGAAATGTCAAATCATATAAATTTTAGTCTGCTCTTCTTAAAGATAAAAAAAACTTCTAATAAGATTGTCAAGAAATCCAAATAAAACAATATTTTTTCCCTTCTTACTTGGAAGCGTTTGTTGCAAAATAATGCAACGCGAAACAAGATTATGTTAACAGTATAGACTCGAACCAGACGCATAAAATCAAAATTAAAAAATATATAAAAACAATATAAATAATATGTAAAAAAATATATAGATTCTATATTTTATATACAAATAATATCAATAGTTTTTTATCTTTACATTAATAGTATAGCAAAAATCGTTCAACGATTTGCCGTTTTAATAGAATAACGAAATATATGAAAATGACTAGATCTGATTCTTTTCAAAGCAGCTGGTAACGCTTGATTAAGTAAAATCTTAACACGCTTATACACATGCATTGATATCATCGAAACATTGCACGCATATTAAGCTCTCAACAGGAGTTACGATACGAGCATCAGCTGAAAAGCTACGACTAAACGAATTTTTTTTATGATAATTCCGTTTCTGTCAGTCTTTTGCTAAGTATTCTGTTGATTATCATACTCCTACAAAGCGTAAAATCCTATATATTTTTTTATAATAAACTCTTATAACGAATAAAATTAGAATATACGGGCTAAAGATTGTTCCATCAAAAATCGTACAGCAATATACTCGTTCATCGCTATTCTATCACAAGCTATATGTGCGCTAAACTGTCATAATTAATCAGCACCAGTGAATGTGTACAAGAAAAACATTAATCACTCGGTTAATTTTTTATAGTTGATATCGATTTCTCAATACGGGTTATCCGACGCGAAAAACTAAAGCTCGCGGAATCTCTACAAGTTGTATCTCGTATACTTTCGCAATTTACTGTCTTTGATGATTATTCACGTCCTTCGATCCTTCGCCGATGTCGTCCATATCTCTCATATGATCTTTGGAATTTCTGTCTTTGTAATCGCGAGAATGATAATAATGATTGTTATCTCTTCGCGACGGTTGACCTCTGTATTTGCGATTACCGCTGCCACCGCCACCGCCGCTGTCGCGTCCGTAATTGCGATACTCGCGCGATCGATACGACGTTGACTCGAAACTGCTCACCTCCGCCGACTTTACATTACCGTTCTGAAGTTGAGGCAAAACGGTCGAATCCGAGTCCGACTGATGATCCGGCTTTTCGTGCCGATTTGCGCTATATCTATATATAATTCATACAATTCTCTTTAACGTGTCATAGATAAGTTCGCAAAAACAACAAGGAGTGAAAACTATACCTTGGCGATCTGCGATGCCAGTAACTCGGAATTGGTAGCGGTGGAAATTTACGAGAGCTTTGCTCCTGCGTGGTGGACGAACCGCGGTTATGATGACCGCTGTTACCGTCGCGCGAACGTCCGCCTCTGCTGGAGCCAGGATTGTTTGTCGAAGAGGATGCTTTCAACGAAGCTAGCTCTTTTTTTTGATCCAGATTCTCTTTGTGCAACCGTTTCACCATCGCGTACGATTCCTCCAGAAGCACAACCAAACTCGCTTGCATGGGATCTCCGACTTGAACCCCCACATCTGTCACTTGAATTTTATCTTTCTGGTCTTCGGTTAAGTCCAATCTCCTGCGAAAAAAAAAACATTAGCCTTGCGTGTGTGGTGTGTATTATTTCTCTTTCTTACGCGAGATAACCGACTTTTTTTGTTGCTCTATGATGTTTGACAAGTATTGATTGTGTGTTTTTGCTTCTTGCAATGACGCTTTAATGTCTTGCAAGTCTTTCTCCAAAAGTTCCACTTGCAAAGGTGTTACATTGACGCATATTGGGCTACTCTGTAAATGCAATTCGTATTTTAAAATTGAAATTGATTCGTATTTTAAAATTTCTCATTGAGAATTATTTATTATTGAAAAAAAAAACATGAAACAAAATATGAAACAATGTGCAACAATGTGAAAAAAAAATACGTGAGATAAATATTATGAAATATTTATCATGATGTATGTACCTTCGATTTCGCAAACCCATTTCCATTATCTTCAGGTGAAGAAGGACTGCTAGCAACAGCACAGTGTGCTCTCTTAGAAAATACCAATTGAAATTGTAAATCTATAAAAATGCATAAATAAATACATATACACATATTCTATAAATGAGATAAAGAGAACAGATATAATTTTGAATTTCTTCATTTTACTAAAAATTCATGTTACCTCTATTTCTCTGCCGTAAGGATTCTATCTCTTGATGCAAAGCTACTAAAGTTGCCTGATGTTGTTCTTGTAAAAACTTGATGTTCTGTTCGAGTTGCATTACTCTGTCCACGTTCAACCCTTGATATCTAACATACGCAAGTCCATCATTTCTGTCATTCAAGGAGACCAGATCAGGCGTTTTCTTCTCCTATTGAATATGTGAATAATTCATATTACAAACTTGACAAAAAGACTTTAGATTATTCAAACTTGAAAATACGAATGTACATCTACTTACCTGAGGAAAGGGCACTGTCGGCAGCTTCATCAACACTTTAGACGTCATCTTGAAATCGTCAGCAATAATTAATATGCAAGTTCAATTGCTTCTACTCAATTATATTAGTTTTATTTACTCGATTGTTTCAGAAGTATTACACATTTAAAGCACACATCAACACAAAATCACACATTCCAATCTTGTATAATAAATAAAAAAGCTTCTGCATGTAATAAAGCTTCTTCTAGAACCTAGAAAAAAATTCATAATTGCACAATTAGCGATATTCGCGCAAATAAATATATGTATATATATGTTGTATATTAAAAAATGACAAAGATATCTAGCTAACTTAAACACGAAAAAATGGAAACTTATAAAAACTCGTCGCAATCTCGCGAAACAACTAAACAGAAAAGTCGACGAACGACAAAAAAAAACAGTAACAAGTTAAAATTCGAGCGTTAAATATTTTAAAAATAAAAGAGAAAGAGGGAGGGGGGAGGGAGAAGAGAGAGAGAGAGAGAGAGAGAGAGAGAGAGAGAGAAAGAGAAAGAAAGAGAAAGTACAATAGTGTGCTGCAAAAATAATTGCTAATGCGTAGTTTTTCTATTCGATCGTCACGGAAGAAATATTTAAGCAAATTTAGAATTCAAAGACATTTATTCGAGAGTGTTACAACGCGCCATGTAAAGGGATCGAGTCTCTTGACTGCCACTACGTGCAGGAAAACGGGTCGCAAGATATTAACGATAAAATGGGAGAAAACGCGTAGACATAAGAGCCTTAATTGAATGCGCGTGAGGAAGGTAAATTTTGCAAGAGAAAATTGATTGTGTCCAAATCAGAAAACGATTCTTACCGAGTATGCTTAAGCTTGCGGAGAGCTTCGTAGAAAGCGGAGATGTTTGCGAGCGCTAGCGAAATCCGAAGGTTGAATGAGAACGTCCTGCGCGCGCATTTACAATATCACGATATATCGCGCGCTGATTGGCCGGCGACTTTTGAAAATAGCGCACCAGAAAATTCGAGATTCAAACGGTATTCGCGCGATATGCCGTATTCGTCGTTCGCTTCGCGTTCACGGCGAATGTAACGTTTGAAAATTTATCCGCTCGATACGTGTTTTCGTTTCTTGCTCGCGTATCGACATTATCAAAGGAAATAGTCAGCGATTTCTGTTGCGAATCACGTTTGCATTTGAATGTCGCGCGTGATTTTGCGAACTACGAAGTCGCCCTCTTCGTCAGTGGTGCTTAATTCCGCGTCGCATCCGCGACTCGAAAACATTCTCGCGTGGTCGAGCTATTTTCAACAATATCGTCACCAAAATGAATCATTTGCTCGAATCGATCGCGCAATTAACTCGAGCGGGCAACCATTGCGACGGTTTCGCCGAAAAATACGCGAAACGAACAAGTCGGCGAAAAAACACATGATGAGCACCGCCGGGCGAGGATGATATACACCCCGTTCTCAGCCAAGAGGGTTTAGCACGCGCTTCTTCCAAACCTTGGGAACCGCGGGAGTATTGATCCAAACAGCCGCACCCATGCCTTTCCCGATCGTATCAATCGCCGCCGCGTGCTTTCAAACACACACGCAAGCTTTTCAAACCCTTAGGATTTATTTCTCGTTTTGGTACAACCAAAAAAAATGAAATAATTGCAGAATAGTATAGTTTCATGCATACACAAGAAGAAAAAGCAGATTGTTTTTTCTATCATCTTTTTATACATGAATAAAACTGGTTTTTCTAAAACTATAGTTTTGATTAATTTAAAATTGTTCTGTTTTCTGTATTTTACAGCTTTCGGAATTTAAATCCTGAAATGTGTTTTCTTTGAGAACTATATTGAAATGAGAATATCGTGGACAAACGATAAATTAATAATGCGATAAAAATAAAAGGACGATTTATTTGTTGCTAAAATAATATAATAATCGATTATCGTTATTGGAGGGAGTAACTTGAAACATTTTGAAGGATTTGGCAAAAGTATCGACTTTATACCGCACCAATTTCAGCCTAATCCGGCAAAATAATTTATTTTCGCGTTCCCATGCAAGAAATCGTGCATCTCGGTGTATCCCGTTTTATATTTAACATCATATTCACCCCCCTTTTGTGTAGATACATCTGTCACATATGGCGCGGTTGAGGGGACAAGAATAAGATAAACACAACTCGTAATATCGAACATAACCACATGACAATGTCACTCTTCTTGAATGTTGAGGAATCCAATTACACGAATGACAATGAGCCAGAAGGTCCGCACTTTTCCGAAAGTGAAAATGAAGATTATCAATTCAAGGTACGCATATATCTCACATAATTCTCAATGTTTCGCAGAATGACATATAGAGTGACTTTCACCACAAATGATGCTTCAACTACAAAAACATCAGATTCTGAATATATTATTTTACACTTATGTTTTCACGTTTCCATTTTGTACCTATGTATATTATGTGAAATGCAAAGAGTCAGCAAAACAATCACATTCTGTTTCTGTTAAAGTATATGCCTGCAAATCACTTCAAGTATATAGTAAAGGATGTACGCAGACAGAGATGTCGAGAGGAGGAAGAGGATGTATGGGCTTCTTTTGTCAGGCAACAAGAAATGAACGGTTACAATAAAAATTGTATTCAACCGTCTGTTCATAGCATAAAACAGCTGTTGGATGAGGGTATGAAAGAAGCAGATAAAGAACTCAGAAGAGTAGAATTAGATACCTTGCCAGATAGATCAAGAAAGGAATGTGGCAAGACTAGTAATAATAAAAAGAAAAGGACAAAGGTATGTACATATATATATATATATTTTCCAAGACAATATTGAGTAGATATTATGATTAGATTTTTGCTAAAGCTTGTATAATAATAGGTAAATAATATCAGGGACGCCAATTGGAAGAAGATGCCAATTATGAAAGATATGGGAACAGGCAGCACTAATTTGCTACTTACTATACCTGAAGAAGAGAACGCTTGCGTGCACCAGAGGAGGTTAGAATCTGGCAATGTTAAGTCATATACCAGAAAGTCTTGTTCCGCATTAAGTCAGAAAAAACGATTCTCCAAACAACCGTATCATGCGACTAATGGTGTCGAATACAACTCGAGTCCAGAAAACAGCGCGCGTTGCAATGGTGTTATTTACATACGTCCAGATCCATTTACTATGCATAAAATTCTGACTATGCAAAGAAAGGTCTGCGATTTGCTGGATGAGATTGCATACAGACTAGGAAATATTCCACCGCCGGATGGTATTAAAGATCTACAAAAGCGGCAGCAATGTGTCGCTGAATTTGCCATACGGTTCTCGAGAAATTATCTGTACGATTTAAACAGATACGTGAAGGACATACAAAAGCATATGTGCGTAATCTCGCCACGAGCTGTAATCAAACCGAACGACAGAAGCATCGGACTTCACATGCACGCCATCGAGCAAAAGTTACTTGCCGCTCATCAGTTGTTGTTGCACGCGTTAATTGCTTATTGCAAACACATTCCCAGTTCTATTCTCAAGGGACATTCCGGCAAGTTTCGAGAGATATTGCAAGTGGTTATCGATCTGAAGACTATGTGCGACAGACTTCATTTGAATTATCTTGATTCAGGAGACACCGACGTTCTGTCGCTGGTAATATTACATAATTGAATTTTAGCGCGTACTTTATGTTTGAAAATCGTTACGTTTTTCTGCACCTTACAAAAGAGTGCAAGAGAAAAGATCAGATTCAAATTCGCTTACAGGTTCTCTAATTACAGGGAAAGGATATTGAAAACAAGTGCAATGTCATTTTGTCGAAGTTAAAGCTACATTTGAATAACGATCTTGATACGAATAAAACGTCTTCTATGGCATCCTTTAATTCGTATTCGATAAATAATAAAAAACGACTCAATCGCAAGCAGTTCCAATCCAATCGATTGAGCATGTACAGCAGTACGGAAAACAAGATTCCCAAAAGTAATTTTAAGAGTAAAAACAGTACGTAAAACTTATTATTATTACTCATATTTTATCAACTATCAAACATATATATTATTCTGCAATATTTTGCTTTTGTGTAATGTAAACATTTATACATATCTAGCTCGTCAAAAAGATAAACAGTATAGTATAATAAACATGAAGAAAGCTTCTAACGATCCAGCATCGGATCGGCAATATCCCAGTACTATAACGCTTCTATCATCTAAGGATGGGAGTCAGACTGCGATCAAAAAGCATAAAACATATACAAAAGAAGAAGAAATAAAAACTGTGATGGATATGTTACCTATAGATTCAGATAATGTAAAGAATACTGATAACATTTACTTAACATGAAAGTTATATTAATTTAATTCGCTTACTTTGTTTTGTTTTGTAGAGCAGCAATAGTGGAACAGCAAGACACAATAGTGCGATGCTCACAAGAAGAATATCCAAATCTTTAAAAATAGCTTCCAATAAATCACAAGAACCAAAACAATCGGAAACAATAGAAGATATTGTTAAAAATACTTGCACAAATAACGACAACAAACCGACACCAAGAGTAACGACGATTACGGAGAAACATTTGTCTACTTTAGTACCAATTATAGCGGATCTCATGTCTTTGGTTTCCAGTAAGGTAACACTGTTGCGATTACTACGCATAAATGATCTTTTTATTCAAATTGAGAAAAAAAAAACAATTTGAGAAATTAATAAATTTACACTAAAATTTTAATTTATTATATTGTCAATTATATATATTTATGTGTGTAGCAAAATAAATCCGAGACGGAAATGAATATGAAGACATTAGTAAAGGTTTTAGAAAAATATCAACAATTGCCCAAAAGCACGAAGATCACAAGTTACGATACGTGTCCTTCTTCCACACATGGCAGCTACAAATGTGAACATCTTAAAACAAACAGGTGATTGTTAGGGAATGCGTTCTGTGAATATATTTTTCTCTTTCATTTGATACAGAAATGAGATAGAACTCAATAATATTTTTAAAGACCTCCAATTAGAACACGAAATAATGACAACATGCGGTTACTTTGTTTGTCGTCGGACGAAAATGCATCTCAAGGACCTCGGTATTGCGATGCATCGTGTCAAGCAGATCGCGAAAGCCTGACAGAATTACCGGATTTTGAGACAAAAGTAAGTCATGTACAAATAACGAGAAATAGCTGCACATGTATTTTGTGCTTGAACTTAATATACATATTTATGATAAATTAATAGATGATGGAAGCGAAACGATTAAAAGACTTGATGATTGACATTGAGCTAGATATTCCCGAGGAAACTGAAGCAAACTTTCACAAGTACAAAAACGAGTATCAACGTACGATACAGTCGATTCCGATGTATTCTAGCAATACGCGCAATAAACCATGGGACATTGTCGCTTGGTAAATATATCGATAAAATATAGACTGAGAAAAATACATGTTATTAACGCATTTACAATAAGTAATATTGCAGGATATCCGATAAACTGGTAGATGAATTAATAACAGAAATCGCAAAAGAGCTTCAAATAGATGATGTCATACAAAAGCTCTTCGAGTTAGAATTTCAAGAGTTCTAACTGAATGTCTTTTCTGCTCATATTAAGAAAACTTATATAAAAAGACATCGTATAATGCAATTTGATACAAATTTGAGATATTTTATATACACATCCCTCTCTAGTAATTTTGAAAATAAAAATATTTTTTAATTATTTAAGCGTTTTTTAACTTATAAATTTTAAAGCACGCGATTTCAATTCTCGAAAATATCGAAAGTATCGACGTGTGCGCGTGCGTAAACGGCAATAACAGCACGGAACAGAACCAAATCCGTCGATAAGATGGCATTTTTGTTGACTGAGTTGGTTTATGTAGTTCACAAAGTATAAACATCGCGGCGCTCGTTGACGGGAACACACAAAATTCTATCACGGCTGCTCTCAAGTTTGTATGTAAAAACATTTTTTATTACATCAGTTAAATTATCTTATGTGTCTGATTATAACAAGAGCATGACTACTGCTACTAAACAGCGCCTAATTTGCTGGTTTAGATTCACTCTTATACATATAGGTATTAAATGCGCAAATTGTCTACTAATAATATAATCTCTTAAATATTTGAAAGACGTATTTGTTTTTCTTTGTGTCTTTTATGTCTTTTAAACAAGCAAATTGTTTAAGAATTGAAAATATCGATTTTGTCGATTGCTTGACTGAACGCAATTTGCATAATTTTTCTTATTCAGTTTTCTGCACTAGGGCTGTACAAAGATTATATATATATGTAAGTCTTAGAGTTACAAGAGAAAAGACTAAATTTATTATAAAAGAGTATTTTGTATAATTCGCAGCCAATGAAATGGCTTATGTAGCGTTTTAAAATGAACTTAAGACAATTTTAACTACACCAGAGTGTATACGCATTGTGTAAAACTATGTAACTATTCTAAAAAGTGTACTAAACTACATGTTTAAACTAATGATTTACTTATTGTTTTTTTTTTGTTCTAGGTTGACTTGTTTAAATTGCTTGCCAAAAGTTTTGTCCTGCATAATATCCGAATTTTCACCGTCTTTTAACATTTAGGCGGTTTCTATTTTTAACAGCGAGTCTCTTCTATCGGACATCGATCGTCGGTTTTTTCCGTAGAGGAGTCAGAACTGGAGGGAGGCAAGGATGCAAGTTTTAAGGATGAGAAAGAGAAAAAGAGAGTGAGACAAGAACAGAAGACGAGAGAGCAGAGACTGGAGACAAAAAGAATTGTTAGAGGTCAAGGTTGAGGCCTCCTTCTCTTCCTCTCGTCGCTATCTTCTCATCTCTTTTCTTCGTGACTCTAAAAGCTTGGTTCTCTCTTTCCCTGTACTATCTTTTTTTAAACCAGTGTCAAGGGTCGCCGAACTCTTCTGATCTAACAACGTCAGACAAAACGAATGCAACTCTTTTTGTGATGCCAGAGAATATAAGTTGAGTATAAAACAAATATCGATAGATTTACATATAAACTTAACTCAATGACCAAAGAGAGAAATGGTGATTAATCGGAATTTGTGCATATCGCGTTCAATGTGTACAATGCGTTACTCAGAAGGTTCTTATATTTAACTGAGAACTGAATTGAAATATAAAGATCTTCTAAAATATACGGAAGTATATGAAATATAAAAATTATTTCTTGTCTTGTTTAAATAGAGATTGCATACACGTAGCAATCGCGGAAACACATTCCGCTTGACCTAGTTGCGGTTATGAATGCAGTTCGTGAGCACATTTTTGTTATCAACTTTTGTTAACAATTTTTGCTCCTGTTATCATACTGAGCTATTATAACTCTATGAAAGCGCGATTGTAATGCTCAGTGGCAGCCGGTGACGATAGGGTTCTTTGCGTTATCTCCTTGAAATTCTATTCCGAAGATAAGGGATCATTGTTATCAGCACTTGTTAATATATGAGTGTGCTTATAATAAAATTTGCCGTCATAAGTTACATACTAAAATTTTTAATGAATATGTTTAAAAATATTTAATCTGGACAAATATTTAAGCAGAGAACTTAACAACATATATTAATGGCAAAAGAAAGTGACATATCATTTATAAATGATATTTATAATGATGATATGTCATTTATAATGATAGTTACATTTGTTGTGGTTTGTAAAACTGACATTAAAATTTGTAGTCTATATGTATAAGTTTATATATATAAATTTTAAGTAACATCTTATCCGTGCGATATATGACATTTTATGAAGAAACTTTTGATGACAAACATGCTTCGAAACATGTGCTTAGATAACTAAGGCAGATACACAACATTGCTCTGACGCGTATCAATCTTACTTTTAAATTTTCTTATTGTTAAGGAAATTAATTACAATGACAAAGAGTATAGTTTGTTTTTCTAATCTGTGTGGTTCTCACATCACATCTTTTACGTCAAATCTGTTCTAATACGCCATTCTAATACGGTCCGCTCTCGACTCAGATGCAACAAAATAAAATAAAAATTCGAATATATGTAAGAATTATACGTGTCAGCTGTTATATAACACTGCTTTGCTCTGGTCATATTGTGCAGCTAAAACGAAATATGATTCGGTTCAAAATGTGCTTACGAATTGCATAATACGATCTTTAGAAAAAAGACGTGAGAAAACCTTCGCACACTTGCGTGACAGAATGATATAATAATGTAATTTAGTTTTGGTGTAATAACACTAAATTTCTAAAGAAAATGTAATTAATTATTGCGATGTCACATGAACAAATTGTTAATAGTAAATAAATAAGTCATATAACTATGATATATATAATAATGAACTATCAACGCAAATTTTTATAACAAAATAATTATTTGAAAAAATATTTTCATAATTTTTTTCTTACGTAAAACATAAATTATGTGATATAAAAAAAGAGATTAATTATTTATTGACAACAAATAAAAAAGTAATTTAAAAAATGCATAATATAGATGTCGTTACATCAATATCGATCTCAATGTCTCAATCGCACCATGATGCATAAAAGAGAGAATGCATCAATTCGTGTTTTCTAATTGTTTCTTGTTAATAGATTAAAACTAAGTTCACTCGAGATCACACATATACGAAGCTTTTTCTGTAAACAATATCGGATGTTTTCCTTTTAGTGACTCAAGTTGACTTTTACAAACTCTTCTCCAGTTATGAATTTGCGCGAATAAGTGCTTTTCATTTGTCATACAGAGCTACTGATTTTAGGCAAGTCAAATTGCCACAAGTTCTAATAAATTAGAAAACATTCATTGTAAAACAATACTATATTTATGGATCACGCGTGTGTACAATATCGACCATCTATATGTTGAGCGATTACTAATTTCCATTCCGGAACGGGTCACGCGATAATGATAAAATAACACACACACACGGTCATTCGGCTTCGATTTTTTATCCCTAAGAGACTGATTTACAGAATTAGATACAAAACGCGGGAAACTGTAGTTTCGCGCAAATCACGTTTGACTTATCGCGCAAATTTTTCGCCTTCTAGTTTGCACGCAGATTTATCATAAATCACGCAGCGCCTGTCGAACTTGCGTGCAAATCAATATAAAATATGCGCACGCACATACGCACGCGTTCTCGGTCAGGCTGTATATTATTTAACAGAAAGAATGAGTGAAAGAGATAGATACCTAGATAGATAAAAAGAGAGAAAAACAGACAGACAAATAACATATGTTTTGAAAATAGAGCTGTTGTAGTAAAAATTAAAATATTATTAAAAAGAGATAAAAAGTGCATAAAAAACTACTTTTCGTAGTTATAGATAAATATTCTTATGTATAAATATGAAATATATAAAATGTAATATGAGACTCGCATTTCTAAATAGAAAATGAAGAGAATCTATGATTTTTCTTGTTTATTGCAAATGTCGCAACGTGAGATAAATCTCTATTTTTTTATGCAATGTACAAACGCAACCATTTTTAACATGAATTTCAAATGAAATTTGGTAAAAGAGACGTCAGAGCAGAAAGTTCAATCCGGTTCAGAATGTACGGTGATATTTATGTGCATTTTATCGATACGCATGTAAAGCGATACAAGTACAAAAGACTCATTTAACAATGGACCATACTTTTGATGCATCCTCGCACGTAATAAAAAAATCATGTAATTACACTTTTACTGCGTGTTACACGTGACAGTTCAATGAACCGGCGATATTGATCTAATTCGCGACCGACGGCGGACATCAAACGCAACTCTCGCGTACAAAGATACAATGAGCAGAGCAAAACACGAAATAACATTTTATATAAATTTCTATTAGATGTTTATTAGACATTGAGTTGTGAACGCCCACCGGACGTTTGTGTCAGAATAAGATTCGATATTTCGACGAAAAGATAAGCTAATTTAATGTTGAATATATTTCACTTAAATTGTTGATAATTTCAATGAAGTCTTTTCGTGCAAATTTAATTACTAATCCAGATAAACTTGATCTAGTATGTATAATCTATTGCACGTGCACATATACGTTTCAGTCTAATCAGCACTTTAGCGATCACGAGATTACGTAGTAATCTATTTTCTCTCTCTCTTTCTTTCTCTCTCTCTGTCTTTCTGACGCAGAGTACTTGGATTAACAGCTACACAGAAGTCAAATTTTTTTAATATTTTGTCAATGAAAATGTATGTATGTCTATATAGAATTTATTATATTATCTGAGAGCTAGAGTGTTCCATGTCCACGAAAATCATATGGACGTAAAACGTTCCAGTCTTAGGATCACAAATGACGATACATACATATTATTATATTTTATATATGATTTACCATTTATTTTTTATATTATTACATATATTTTATTCTATATTATATATTGTGAGCAATACGAATAATTATCTTTTAAAGTTTGTAACTTAAATCAATTGTATCTTTACCTTAGTTATATTTAACACTTTAGATTGCTTTGTTTGCAGAATAAAACCGTGCGCAAAATGACATTGTGACATGAAGCAAACAAATTACTACCGAATTTGGCTTCGATCGATCTTGTTGCTTGTGTAAGTAAAAAAAAGATGTCGGTGTGTGTCAAAGATATGTCAATCTGATTGTGTATTCAAGTTCCTCTAAAAGATTCTCTTGTTTTGACAATAAATATAGAAAATATTGTTAAACACATCACTGTTTGTTGCAACACACCGCAAACAATGCGATGCAATTACGACGTAATTTAATTTTAACCCCTTGCACATTTGTGTAAGATTAACGACCAAAGCAGAAGCTGTGTTTGCAAACCAAAACCGATAAAAAGAACACACGTGGAGTTTTCTATGTTTAACGCGGAGAAAGAACCGTGCATTTATCAACAAGTTCTCGAATTGATTATTGCTGTGTGTGTTTGTCACTCGCGTAATGCAAACGATATTATCTCCTTTTTTGTTGTCCTATTATCATAGAAAAAGCACATACGAGTCGAGCATTATGATTGATCTCTTATGATAACAACTTACATCGAAATTTAACACCAATTCGCTTAAAAACTCCACAAAGTTAAAATTAAATTAAAAAGGAAAAAAGATCAAATATAGAATCGAACGCTGTGTTGTTTCCTTTTACTTTAATGTTTATGGTTAAAATCTAAAAAAGTCAAAAGTAATTCTAAAATAGAATTTGTATAACAAAGGGTTATCACATTTAAACTCGAACCGAGCGCAGCTGGTTTTGAACTACTCGAGTTTGAGATTACGGTTGTTGCGTTCAAGCGACGGATGTGTGCGTCATATATTTTCACTAGATGAAAACTGCCGATTCAGCATATGCGAACACAATCAAGTTTATTGCAATAATAAATAGCTTGTTACTCTCGTTCAAATCGTTATCTTGCTCATTCGCGAGCACTTGAACTTAACAAGAGCTTCTGAATTCGCGAAAGTGCACTAGCAATGACACTGTTGCAATTCGCACGATATAAAGGAAAGCTCATCTATGTGTGCGGGGAAAAATAATCAAGTGCATCAGTACTTTTGCAAACCGAAGAAAATTCGTCCGCGCGCAAAAAGAATTGAAGATCCCTATTATAGATATTAACAGATTTGTAATAAAACATTGCGTCACACTCTTATTACATTCATAAATAAAACAAATATATAATAATTAACAATAATTGACACTTATTGAGTTTTCTCCTAGTTGTTAACATTTTTGTATCTACGGTTTTATTTTACTTGACATTATATTAGGTTTAATTTAGATTTTGTATAACAATATTAATTGAGAAAGTTTTAGTTGGTATTCTTGAAAGACAAAAATTGACAGATCTTTAAAGTGTCAATCATTGGATGTTTTATGCTAAACTGCCTCACTGGTTGAATCAGTCACATGTAATATCGAATAGTAATGTCGATAATTGCTATCGCTCTTACGACTAATTCACACTGTACATAATATCGTTACGTAAAGCGTATCGTTTTAATAGTTTTATTTTTTTTTTTACTTAGGTTTTATGAATTAAACGGACTGCCACGAAATCCATTTTGTTGACGACTAATATGAATGGTCCTGTTTGAAACTTACGCACAGATTTTATGACTGTTCGTTGACGTAACAATATCGTTTGTGAGTGAATCCTTAAGCAAGTGCCGGTCAGACGCACGCAATCACTTATTGCCACGACTCATGACGTCACGTGTAAGTAAGAAGAATGATCGACAACTTTTTTCGACAAAGTCGTGTTACGACATGTTACGCGCATGTTTTATTCCACGGATAATCGACGTGGTCTTCCGCGAAGGATCCGGTTATGACGCTCAAGTGAGTGCGTTGAATTTGTTCAAATTATTGTTAATTGATGTTGATAAAAGCAATAAATCGCTAAAATTGATATTATAATAAAAGTGATATTATAAAACAATAATCGAGCAAAACAGTATTTTTACGACTATATTTAACGTGCGTGATAATTGGACACATTGTCAATAATATTATCAGTATATTTTTTTACTTATCCGTTATTTAGCTTTCCTCAGACGAATGCTGCGCGCAAGAAAATCTCCTGAAACATACTTTGAAATTTGAGCAACACATCATAAAATTGATGTCATTCAAGTGTACACTCCCACTCCGAAGTTCTCTACTTGCATTGTATGATATATAAAAAGCATCCCCGATTCTCGTGCACTCATATTGCGACGTGAACGAGTGATGAACGAGCGATAAAAATTTCTTCAATTGTATCGAGTTTCGGGACTGCGATTATACAAAGTGTCTCCAAGAATTACACAAATCTGCTTTCTGGTGGTAACAAAAAGATAACGTGATAGCGACGAAAAACCCACGTGCTAATAAGCACTTGACTTCATTGGTAAGTGTTCTAGATCGGTAATACATTGATCGATCTGTCTGCATTTTGAAATTTAAATATGATATATGCGCTAAATTTACATACATATCTTGTTATGTTACACAAAGAGCGATCAGCACAAAAAGTCACATTTGATTTTTTACATCAAAGAGTCGGTGCCAAATGTCAAAGTTGGATACGGATCGCTTCTTTCACTTCATAATTCGCGGTTATTTCGCATCATGATGCAACATTGAAAGCTCCAGACGCAAAATATAGAGTAAGTTGGAAATGGTACATATTTGTCGAAGATTGTAGTGTCATGTTGATAGAGTGAGATGCGGATTGCGATAAAATAAATTTATCATATATCACGCAATGAACAAATTGCAAACGTTTCACACGGGACGTTCTATACAAAACTTCACTAGATGTTCGTTAAACGCGTCACATAGAATTGTGAACGTTTATTAGACTAATTCTAATTCTACAGAACAAAACCCCATAAAAACCTCACTAAATGTCTATCAGAGATATCTCGTAGAGCTGTGAACATTTAATAGATATCTAATAAAGTTTATGTGGAATGTTTTTATTGCGTCTTAAATCTGTCGAGGAAGGAAAGTCTATTAAACCAAATTTTGCATATACGGTCAGTAAAACGTATTGTATTTTGTAGACAACGAACACGTGGACAGTACGAAGCGGAACAACTGGTCAATCCGGTTGAAAGCCGGTCGGCTCGAATTCCGCGCCGCGAGTCGCAAGTCGCGGAACGGCAGTGTCACGTGACAACGGTGCTGGCCAATCGCCCAGACTGACGGGGGCGAGATTATAAATAGTGGAGCGTGACGTGTGGGGAGCCTCTTTCGCTTCCCGCTACGATTTGCGGCAATTTGCGGCGCGTTCGGCTCCATTCCGATCATTAACACGGTGTGCTTGTGCGGCGGAGTTCTCTCTTGGGTACGTTCCGCTTCTTTCTCACGACGCCGTAATTCTCATCCCGTGTCTCAAAGACTTACATTCTAGTGCTCGTGAACGCGCGAAACCATTAGGTCATCTGAGGACGACACGACGACGATCGTGATTCATCGAAACGCGCGGGTAACGTAACGAGGAAAAGGCACGTGGAGGAGAGTTTGCAAGGCGGCTCAGACGACGACGGGCCAGGTACGCTGGGATTGCGGTGTTTAACAAAGCTCCTGAGTTACGGGATTATTCCGAAGATACAACGACAACGGCGACAACCCCGAAACGTAGGAAAATGCCGGAGACCGCACACCACATGAACGGCTATGCGAATGGCCACGCGCCGCCCGAGCTGCAGCAGGACACAACTTTCCTCTTCACCTCGGAATCCGTCGGCGAGGGGCATCCAGGTGAGCGAGACAATGTCATCGGGACAATTAACTTCCTCTATTCGTAAAGCCAATCTGACATTATCTCGACGCAATTTTCCTTTTTTCCTCGTCGCTCTCGACATCTCTGTGTCATGTAACTATCCGCGAATGTGTGGTAGCACGTCGCCATAGAAGAGAAAATATCGTTTTCGTAATCGAATGCGTGCAACATGCACAAGCGTTTATCTAATTTTTTCTATGCTTTGTCAAGCATGTCGATTATGTCGGACGACGTTCGCTTTCAAGTGTTCGCTTATTCTCGATCTAATTACTTGTGCTTTTCTGCATCACGTATTAATATAAGCTAATCGTCTTTGGCCGTGGCTGTGAACACGGCCGGGGTTATGTTCTAAAAAGAAACAGTGAGTCAATCGCGCTCGTTACAGTTTCTGAACCAACCGAAGTCAAACGAATAGATTGTAAAATTGAATATCTTTATCGGTTTGTTTCATGTCTTTGCTGTTTTGTTCGCCTCGATCTGGCTATGGCCCTGTTATCGCCAAATTATTGCGGCCTATCATTGCGACCGCCGCCGAATTCAGCGACCTCGTGCGCGCACACTTCATCAGAAGTTGCGCGGACCATACAGTAGCGGGACGCGAATACTGCGATAGTCACGCCGCCATGTGTTTGCGATAATCACAGTATGCAACTCTATAGACTCTAGAATGATTGAGAATAGAGATGCCGGTTGCAGCACAAGTCTGAATTAGCTTTGAGCTGATTACATTGTTACATTTTTTGTACAACGAAGATTTTATTGGCTATTCTCATAAAGTTCTTTATAAAACTCTACTCAATATAGCACCAATCACAAACGTTTAAAATATTTGTACAACAAAAACACAGGAATATATTAGTTTTAGTCTATATAGTATACTTCATTGAGCTGAATCAAAGTCGTACAGGCATGATAATATATTTTCTTGTAACTCCTGTTTTTGCATACATCCTCTTCTGCAAACATCTGTTTTTCAGAAAGAAGATAACAGAAATAACAATACAGCTACACAATGATATTTTCTATTATTGTAAAAAGAAGATAATAGTGAGAAAGATTGGAAAAAAAACATGTATTTTCTACTGTGTTTGTTATTGGTAATTTAGACTGAAGTTATTTTCTTGATTCGGAAAAAACACTATTTTCTATTTGTAATATAGATAATGCAAATGGTTTTGTTAATGTTTGCAGTTTTATCAATGCTTATTATGCAGTTTCTCAAGAAATGATTGCTTTTATCAGTTAAAGCTGCATAAATATTGAATGTTCTCTTTATTTTTCATAAAAACAGTTGAAATAAATTTGCTTTGTTAGATAATATAGATTTTCTTCTTTATATCACACAAAAAAAGAAAACATAATGAATTATCTTATTCTATATAGAAGGTTTTTTTTGTTTTGTTTTTTGTTTTTTTGTTTTTACTTTTTTACTTTTTATGTTTTTTATATTGTCAATCATCACTGAATAGCAGGTATCTACTATATCTGCAGCTGCCATTTTAAGATAATAGCTCTACATGTGTATATAATATTTGCATTAAAATATATACCTTACTTTATATTTGTATTTTGAAATTGCAGTTTTAATCACTAAATAAAACATATTTTATATTTATTATATTTGCGGAAACTACTTATGTTTTCAGATAAAATGTGTGATCAGATTAGTGACGCCATTTTGGATGCACATCTCATGCAAGATCCAAATGCTAAAGTAGCATGTGGTAAGTTCTTTCAAAGAATACTGATATATGTTAATGAAAAAATATTTTATGAAAGTCATTCTATGAAAATAGTTTAAAAAAATTTGTTTTTATACATTATTAGTTATGTCACATAAACTATATCACAAACGACTAATTTTATTGTTATGATAACTTTATCTAAAATGTTTACTTGACTGTGCCAACTTTATGTAAAATGTTTACTTGATTCTGTCATGTTTCAAAGCCTTGAGATATATATTAAAAATATTTTGCAAACATTTTTAAGTATAATTGTACGCTATTTTTATTCATTATAGAAACTGTAACAAAAACTGGTATGATACTTTTGTGTGGAGAAATTACATCAAAGGCCGTAGTAGATTATCAAAAGATCGTTCGAGACACAGTGAAGCATATTGGTTATGATGATTCATCCAAAGGTACAGCAACTTCTTGTGATATTTGTAACATATTTTGTTTTTAATGAGAGATGCACGTTTGTTTAAATTACTTCTGACACTTTGTTGGATATTAATTAATTGTTCGTGTGAAAAGTACTAGAATTTCTATATTATTTACTCACAAAGAAAACCGGCGGTCATTAATCGTTACACATAACACATGCATGCTCTGTGGCTGAATATAGCCCAGCTCCTTTGTCCTCATAAAGTTTGTCTCATGAATCCTGCTCATTATCTTCCGAAAAAAAGATCATATCGTGAAATGAGTAGAAAAGACTGTGTAACGTAAGCATATCGTGCTCGTGGCAGGATTCGATTGGCGTACGTTGAACCTTTTGGTGGCGATCGAACAACAATCCCCAAATATCGCGGATGGTGTCCATGTGGACAGGCAAGAGATGGACGTGGGTGCAGGTGATCAGGTACATAATCCATTCTCAGCCCGTGCCGCAGAACAGCCAAAACTAATTCAGTGTCAACGTTTTTTCTCTTATTTCTGCTCCTTAATCCCTAATCTCTTTCCTTTACTCGAGAACTAAAATAATGTTTTCGATCTGTTGTATGTGACAGAGCGTGTGTTATTATCTTTGTGTGTATGTGTACATGTGCGCAGATGAGAAGGCGAGTACCTGCGCGAGTATCTAAATGATTACATAGAATTGATGTCCAAAAATCTTTGTTAAAATATTTACCGCTTGCGTTCGCGCGCGCGCGAAATGTTTGTAATACTTTAGCAGAGACATCTTGGGGAGCACTTGAATATGTTTCCAACAAAGTGCAGTGCATCAGTTGTCATGTTTAGGAAGTAAGAGTTTGCTTGTACTACGCTCAGATATATACACACATAAAGATTTATTGTCTAGTCTATTCAAAAATGTATGAAACATACATCAAAATATTTCAAAAAGTTACAGTCTCGGTGTTCATGTCTGAACTTGTACATGCAAAGAGAACAATTCATTGTATCAGTTTTAATTATCAGGGTTGATATAATTCGGTATAAATCCAATGCATTGGAACAACGGGATTTTGAGGAAAAAAACACGGACTGCAACGCGTTAAAACAGCAGTGAATATTCTTGTCTCACCACACTCATAATTTCTACAGGTTTTGACTACAAGCTGTGCAATGTTCTGTTGGCACTCGACGCTCAATCGCCAAATATCGCGGCAGGTGTGCACGAAAACCGTAGCGACGAGGAAGTGGGAGCAGGAGATCAGGTCAATTGGCATTTCCATCGTTGAATTTTGATTTTTCTTCTACGTGTTGTTTTTTAATTTTCTTTCTTCTTACCTTATTCTTCATCTTCTGTGCTACTGAATATATTTCTTTAGTACATGTGTAAAGTAACATTATTATTTCTTCCTTGTTTTATTCATTCTCGTTTAGTCTATCTGTGTAGAAATAGAAATGGTATAACTCACATCTATCATACACTCGTACATGCTTACATCACTAGTGTTTGAATGCATTGCTAGTATTACCTTTTCTAGGTTTTAGTTATTTAATCGGATACGTAGAGTGTATGCGTGAAAGGTTGCGTGAATGCATTAGATGTATATACCTTGTTAAAAAAACTTATGTGAAATATGTATTATCACATAGTTATAAATGAGTAACGTTCTTAGTAAAAAATAATCATGGTTTTAGTATATCCATGTTGCTACTAAATAATACATTTAAAAAAAACTAATCAGTATTATGTACATATAATGTTTTAAATTTTTTAAATAGTAAATAATTGCTAATTATATAATTATTATATAATTATTGCTAATTATATTAATATGAGTTGTAGCTTATTAAGTTTTTCCATGTGATTATCGATGTGATTCCTACCACTAATTCTTCACTGTTCTGCTCTGTATGGCACGTTTTCTTGCATGTTAAATTTATCGTTTTATTTACAGCTGTACACACACACACACACACACACACACACAAATGTTATGTATATTAGTAATATATATGCACTATATTTTACTGTTTGCAAGACTCTTTCTCAATATACATATGATGTTTTTTTCATAGAAATTAGATTATAAGCCATAATAATTAAAATTTTTCCATCAGGGTTTAATGTTCGGATACGCAACTGACGAAACTGACGAATGTATGCCACTGACGGTAGTATTGGCACACAAATTGAATCAGAAAATTGCTGAATTAAGACGAAGCGGAGAACTATGGTGGGCACGTCCGGATTCAAAAACACAGGTTTGATCTATGTATTTTTTACATTGTTTTTTGTTTTAATCGATCTGTACAACCGAGACTTGCTTTATATCCAATATATGCGAACAGAATAACGTTGATTGAGAACTTTGTATAGCTTATTGGTAGGATACAAGTGTTCTTGAATCCACGGGATACGAGTTCGAATCCTGCCTTGACCGTTGTGACATTTTTTCTCTATGTTGGATTATTCTATGATGTGTATTAGTATTTGCTACTCTTGAATGCCATGATGATAAAACCAAAACTGAGAATAATCCATAAAATGTTATTTCTTCATAATTTTTTATGATAAATAATTATAATAATTTAATTTTAACTTTTTAAAAATTGTATTATCTGCATATTTTACGTGGATTAACGGTTATATACAACATCCGCATTTAGTAATTATAAAGAGTGTAACTACATCGTTCAATAGGTGACCTGCGAATACATAATGGATCATGGAGCTTGTGTTCCTATAAGAGTTCATACAGTTGTGGTGTCGCTACAACATAGTGAAAAAATCGGTCTTGATGAACTACGTTTAGCTGTCATGGAGAAAGTTATAAAAGAAGTAATACCAGCGAGATATCTGGATGATAGAACAGTCTTTCACGTAAATCCTTGTGGACTTTTTATTATTGGTGGGCCACAGGTAATTCATTTTCGTACGTAATTGTACAAATTGATGCCGATGATTTGATTTTAATTAAATATGTTCTTGACATTTTATTTTGACATTTAGAGCGATGCCGGCCTTACTGGACGAAAGATCATTGTGGACACGTATGGCGGTTGGGGAGCACATGGTGGCGGTGCATTTTCCGGCAAAGATTTTACGAAAGTGGATAGATCGGCTGCATATGCTGCAAGATGGGTCGCTAAGTCTCTAGTAAAAGCTGGTCTCTGCAGACGCTGCCTTGTACAGGTAATAAATAAGTGTTAAAATATATTATTCTGATACAAACAAGATACACTTTTGATTGTATAAACTTTCGTAATTGTTTTTTAGTTTTTAGTTATGAAAAACTTCTACATTTATTTACTAGATCTCTTATTTATTTTATTATTTTATATTTATCAATAGGTGTCTTATGCTATCGGTGTGGCGGAACCATTGTCAATCACAGTTTTCGATTATGGAACATCCACGCTTTCCCAGAACGAGTTGTTAGATATAGTGAACAAAAATTTCGATCTGCGACCCGGAAAAATCGTCAAGTACGTATACTTATTAATATAATGTTATATACATATACATATATATATACATATATATATACATATATATATATATATATATATATATATATATAAACATTTTCTTTTGCTCACATTAGTCTGATTATTGTTTATTTTAATCTTAATAATGATTTGTCAATAGTTAGTTTTTTGGAAATCAATTTATAAAAAAATGTCTAATTGATCTTTGCAGGGAACTAAATCTTCGAAATCCTATTTATCAACAAACTAGTACGTATGGTCATTTTGGACGAGACGGTTTCACATGGGAGCAGCCAAAGAAGCTGATTCTCGATTGATGAGAGAATAGATTTTAAATTGGTTTCGACGTTTTCCGGTTTGTACTTCCGACAAAACGTTCTCTATCTCTCTCTATCTCTTTATATCTTTCTCTCAGAGCAATCGTATTATCCTATAAAAAAAAGAAAAAAAATTATCGTCCGCGATTTTTGAGTGCCGTAATCATCACCGAATGTATAGATTCCTTATGTCATTTACTTAGCAGTAGTAAAGACCGGAAAAGTTTTCTCTCTAGTTCATTTCTTGCACTGCGAAGTAATAACCTGATAAAACTACATGTGACAACAGGCATAGTACAAATCTCGTTCATAGTTCGGGACACGGGCCATGGACTTATTTCTTCCTTTATTCTCTCGCGAAATCGGTTTTCGAGTCTCTCAACAACGCGGTTTTATCTATATGCATCGTGTAGAGAAGAGGATAAAAATCTAACCCGCGATGTCCATTTAAGTCCATGCTTATATCCCAAAGTCTTTTCTCTTAAACGTTAACATATTGCGTACGGCGTTCTGTTCTTCTTGTTATTTGTTTCGTGTTCGCGTGTTTTTCACGGAGTAAAAAACTGTGTCTACGTTCTTGCGCGGACAATAATTGCCAGATACTTGTATTCGCGATTACTTGTCCGTATAGGACTGTCATTCGTAGAATCGAGTCTAGCTCGTGTGCAATAGGTCGGTCAGTCGAATACCCGGCTTTTTGTGCTCTACTGTTCAGTTAACCTTGAATAAACGTTAACAAAGTTGGCAGTTTGTACATACTTGGACGATTGTTCTCTATTCTGGGCGAGACTTATGAAACAATTTGTAGCTTGCAACTGGTTTTTTAATCACATTTTATACATTTTTACCTTTATATCTTTAACACGTTGAGTACCAAAGGAATTTTGTTACGTCTTACCGAAGTGTACAAAAGTAATTGGTTCGTATACAAAAGTAGGTTTTGGTAATAAAGAGTATGTGTAATAAAATATACAAAACCGTTTAATTGAATTGTATTTATTGGCGGCTTACCGATGACTGCAAAAATTGTAAATGGCATTCAACATGTTAATATACTCTTGTTTATTGTTCATTATGTTAATATTTCCGCACTGTAACTGTCATTTATATGTATAGAGTTATTCAAAATATCATGTGTATATATATATATATACACACACACACACACACACACACACACACACACACATATGTATATGTAGAGTAATAGAGAGTAGTCAATCATCTGATATATCGTCAATCAATATCGTCACATTTTGACTTCTTATTTGGGACTGTCTTTTTACAAGTGAAGTATAGAAAAATGAAACGTTTCTTTTGGAACATATGTATCGACTTGTAAATAAATAAAACGACCGAGCCGTACGCAATCTGTTAAGATAGATAAATAATCAACGACGTATAGATCATGACTCTATCGCTAATGCATTATGTGAGAGCAACAAAAATATAAAACATCTCTTTATCTGGAAACAAAAATGTATAAACAATTACTATTGATACAAGTTTCTGGATTTGAAAGCTGCATCGTCAGTCTCATAGTTTCTTAGCGTATTAGAATTCCCTAGCACGTACATGAAAGTCGACACTTTGACTTAATTCTAGCAAATTAATTTTGATTTTTTAATCGGATAGAAGTTTGTACACTGAGTTCAATGAGAGGAAAGAATCGGTGCATAAGAGAAGAAAAGTAAACAAAGTGGAAATAGTGTTGCGCGTGGGACATCTGCTGGCAGCCAATGATTATGGAGGACTTTCTGGAAGAAATAAAGGATATGCACGAAACGAATGAATTTTTGTCCGCTCTCCGATTCTCTTCTCTCATTGAACTCTGTTTATATATATATATATATATATACATATATACACAGTACTATACGGTAACAGTAGAATTTGGAAATTTTACTTTGCCCATTTAGTCGATATAGTGATTGATCTTTCATGTACGTATCTCCATTAGAATTATTAATTATATGAGCAGACAAATGTAAATTGGCAAGAACAACGTGTATTCAACAAATGTATGTTACACGTAAAGCAAAGCAGGAAATGACGCTTATACGTGAACATGTGTGTTTTACAAGTTTTAAACAACACATAGTTATGATAATACTAAGTCGCGATATGTCGACTGTAACGGAAGTTTATCATTATTAAACATAGAATATTTAAAACTTTTATAGGATAAAAATACTAATTTATAAGGAAATCTCCGCGAAATTAGCACAAAATAAAGGCGCGCGGTTTATAAGACTTTTTTAAATAAGACAAAAACTAGTGGAGAAAAATTAAGTTTAATATATTCTTATTTAATATATTATATTCTTAACTACAGTTTTATTTATGAATATTTATATTATGGACATGTAAATAATTGCCAAGTGTTGCCACGATGACTCACAAACTTGAGATATCGGAATAAACTGCATTAAATAATAAATAATGGCTCGGTGATCAATTAGGTTATTACAATCAATTAATAAATTCATAAAAACATTTTTTTATTTTATGCTAACTTCGAAGAAGATTCCGCTACTCAACTATATAATAAATATTAGGTTTTTTTATTTTATAGCGCGAATATGAATACAAATCTACAAACATGATATTTCTACATTTTCTTGACGAGAGAAATGTCATTTCCCCCTTTGCTATTCAGTTATAACTAAAAAGTAGAATAATTCAAACAAAATCGTATTAATCATAATTCATAATCTTGATCCCAGTTAGAGGTCCAGCACAGATCGTGTGACGGAGCTCGGAATATTGTAGAATTTTTTTGTTGATATACCGAAAACTTATCCGTTATGGGAGAGAGATTTTAATGAGAAATGAATAGGCAAACAATTGTAAAAACATTTTAGTCCTCCCTGTCAGAATTAATGTATGCGATTTTACGTAAAGCTGTATAGGGTACAACACCTAATGATTGGCACTTAAACAATCCGTCAATTTTTTTCAAGTCAACTAAAAGACTCCAAAATATTGTTGTTATGAAAAATTCAAGTTAATCCTACTATAATGTCAAGTAAAAAGTAACCATAGACAAAAATGTTAACAATTAGAAAAAATAAATAAGTGCCAATCATTAAAAGGGTGCTAATTATAGTATCAGTTACCCTTATTGGCATTATGTACCAATGCACAAGATCATATAAAAGAAAGACACGTAATAAAGCGGATTTTTTAATAAAAACCTGTCATTTATTTTATGTACTACATCCTTAAGTTCCTAGCGTCGTTACAGCATTAATTCGCACTTAGCCGGTCTAATGCGATGCGATCTTTCCATAAAAGAATCGACATGAGCTCTGTCGCACAAGAACCTGCGACTGGCTACATATATATAATTCGCGAAAAATTAGCAATTTTTATATTAGCAGTTGTTGCACCATCGTGTATTCTATATTCAACAATCCTCTTCTGTATGTAACTATATAATCCGCATATTTTTAAATTATATCGCGCAGGTTTTGCTTATACATTATAAAGAGAATTTTGGGTGCGCGTATCCAGATATTAAAATAAGATATAGGTAATTAACATGTATGCAGAGTGCGCGCGGCAGGACAGATATAACCAAAAAAAAAAAAGGTTTTCTTGGTTGTACCAACCGTCCGTGTCGCACATAGTATATGACAACTTATTTTCATGCGTGAGAATTTTCAAGATCTGTTTTTTTTCTCGAATCTTTCTCCAATTTCATATTTTTTTTGTTCCCATATATATTCTAATATAACTATGTATAAGTATTTACATAGGATTCTAATATACATATAAACATATAGGGAAATCTAGCATACAAAAATATGAATTTAAACTATAGAGAAGTATATAAGGTTATATATATAACTCATAAGTAGAATAATATTTATGTGCACATGATTGATAAATCTTCTATTGATATACAGTAGTGATATGTACAGCGCTTGTATATCAATGGTCTCGAATGCTCGTAAGTCAGTGATTTCGTTCTCACTGCATACAAAATAATTTAAATCAATTTTTTTACGACATCGAACGACTGATATTATTTGCCATCTTTGCTTTACTCACTTTTAATGTCCTCTTTTTCTTAGCATAAAGATCTGCCAATTAAAAGAACACAATAATACGTACCGTGTTTTTGTATAGATCAGAAATCCCGATCTACAAGCAACGATCACTACTGTATATTCTCTCTTTCTCTCTCTTATAACTAAATTATACTTTGAAATATAAGGTTAAAATATAAGCATTATTGCCTGAGAAAACTGAATGAATACATCTTATATATTATGAAACGTGCTAAATATACTTGTTTGTGCCACTTTCTTAAGTTTTATCTTATAATTCGGAAATTTAATCTATAGATAATTTAAAATAATTCAATGTGTTCTATAATTAAGTCATTTTATTAATTTGATTAAAATTTAACGATTAATTATTGTAAAATCTTAACAATGAATATTTAAAATTAATATTAGTTTTTATTTCAATCATCCTTGCATAAAAACTTGATTTAATTTTTATCAAATAATCTAATTTTAATCAAATATTCATCATTCGAATTCATTAAATTCTAATAATTCAGTAAACAGTCGATAGCATTTTATACAAGAATAACTGAAACAAATGTTATTAATATTACAACTTATACGTAAAAATTATGCGATTATTGCAAAACAAAACCTAAACATAAATCTTTCATAAATTTAGTTAGCAAAATTTTCTCGATGTTATGAGTGTGTATGTTAATAACGATCGCTGTGATGTTCAGTTGGAATAGTATTGCATTGAACAACAAAAACTAAATAAAAAAGAAAATTAAGTATTTTATTTAGTTGTTCATTTAAACTTTATAGAAAACAATGTCACTCGTCAATGTCGTCAAGTAAGCTACAACATAGTGACAGTCGCACATATAACTTTGCTACACACAGTCCTACAAAAGTATCCACTTAATACAATCAGGCCGTCTAAAGTTGAATCATCAGGACCCCGAGATCTTTTATCATAAAAAGAAAGGATATATTTTTCCACTTTAGAGGCACTGGCTACGACATTGACGCCTACTAGTCTTTCCATCTCTGTGTCAGAATAGCAAGCGTCAACGTCATAGTCAGTGCCTCTTAAGTGCAAAAATATACCATCTCTCCTAAGATCACTGGCCCGTAATAGAAGATCATAAACTTTAGAACAACGAGACCATATCCCAGGAAAGTCTCGACACACTGAATAGTGAAAAATGCTTTTTGTTTTTGTCTTGTATTATTTGAGATTTTAGATTGGTGTTGCTGTGTGTCAATGACTCAAGTCGACTTTTACTTCTTTTTTGCTACGAGTTTGCACAAATAAGTGCTTTTAAGACTTGACATAGAGCTTTTGACTTTAGTTAAACCTAAATCGACACGAGTCACGACAAGTGGAAAGTATCCACCATTTAGTTTGCCACGACTGTCTTAGGCGCGTGGATACGACTGTGACGCAGCAGCGAACTTTTATCGGTAAATGACTTCTCGCATTCAACACACTTGTATGTTCTACCAGTGTGTGTTACTAAATGCCTGCTAAGACCTGACGCGTGACAAAATGCTTTCGGACAGAGTTGACAGTGGTGCAATTGGATGTCGTTCGGATTTAGTTTTTGATGTCGGCGCATGTGTACCTTAAGCGCTTCTCGTTGTGTGAAGCTCTTTTCACAGTGCTCGCATTGGAATGGCTTTTGCCCAGAATGTGTCATAAGATGGCGGAACAGAATTTCTTTCTGTGCGAATGCACGATGACATATATTGCAAGGAAACGGTTTCTCACCTGCAGATATAAATTTAATATATACTTATGAATAATAAGCAACAAATTAAATTTTTTCTATTAATTGGCAGATTATAAATCCGAAACGACACTAACCTGTATGTGTACGTTCATGTCTTACTAAAGCAGATCTTGTCGGGAACCACTTCTCACATGCTTGACATGTAAAACCCCTTTGTGTGGAATGCACTGACTGATGACTTTTCAACATTATTCTGCGGGTAAAAGCTTTCGGACATTTGTCGCATTTAAACACTTTGAGCTCCGAATTTGGGTCAACTGCAATATATTTGACAAATTGTAGTTATAGTTGCTTACTGCAGAACCAGTTACTTATAATAATACTTTTATTTTATTTTACCTAACGTATCAGACATGGGTTGTAATTTTAATGATTCGCTTTGATTAGGATTGTCAGTATCGACTTCCATTACGTAAACGTTTTTATGTTCAGCATTTGCGATCGCTCTCTGAACTTCTTCTGCTTCGTCATCCGATTCCTGCTCCTGTTTGATACGAGTTGTTCTAATCGTGCATCGCGCCTTTGCAGTCCGCTCCTCAGCCGGTACCAGTGTAATGTTGCCTGGATCTTCTGAAGCAGTTTCTTCCACTTCCATCTCTGGGTTTTCAGAACTCATTCCTGTAGATAATAGAAAATAATAATAATATGTATGTAGATCATATTTTGAGAAACACAATCATATACATATGTATATTGTTGAAGATATACCCAATATATAGCCACCAACAAGTTCCTCTTCTGTCATTTCGAGTGACTCTCCTTCTACTTGACTACTGTTACCTTTAACAGTGACTAAATTAGCCAACAGCTGCTTAACTTGTTTAGACTTGCCAGTTGTAGAATCTTTTGAATTTTCTCTGCTTTCCTGACTGTCACTTTCTTGATCTTGTTCAAGCTGCTCTATTAATTTAATATGTTTTTTAAGCTTTGCATCAGCAACCTGACATTTTTTTCTGAACTGATAGGATTTTTCCAGCTGATATTTGCATGGATGACATATCATGTTAGGCAGGCCATCCTGTTCAAAAACCTGTTAAAAGAAAGGTCAAAAACATATGCTGTTAATACACAGATATATCATAACAAATATAAAATATATGAAAATCTGAATAGTATTCTTAAATATCACAATATTGTAATTTACAGAATCAGCTCAGAAATAAAAAACTTAATTAAACAATTTTTAGCAATTGAGCTCACCACAGTTATTGCGTGGTGCATATTGAATTTTTATTTATTCAGTATAACAAAAAGCAATATACATTTTGATTACAGATTTAGTCTTCTTTAAAAATTGGAGGAGACATACATAGAGGTGTATTATATATCTGCCATGCGTTAAATTACAGATTTCTATAAATCCGTACGGTAAAACGATCGCGGGGTAGAGTCTAGGTCTCTGTAATGAAGCGGCATAAATGCGCGCGTATCTATCGCACAGTTCGTCGATAACTCGGTAAAGCCGGTAGTTGCTTTGCGCATTGTATCACCGACATCGCGTTTCTCACGCGCGTACTATATATGTATATATATATATATATACACACACACACACACATATATATATATGTATATAGCATACCGCCATAGGCACACGCGCATCGGTGTGTGCACCGATCGAAAGTCAGGCACACGAAAACGAGGGGGGAAGATAATACAAGAGGCCGCCATACGGTGCGCGCAGAGAGATAAACTAGATTCCTATTTTTCGATGGGAGAAAACGCCTCGGCTGATTATCGTCGCGCGTTGCCGTCAATTGCGACGCGACGAAACGATTCTCGGGGAAAACTCACCTCGACGTTAACACAGGCGTATATACGCAACGCCAGAGGCACCGGCAGGGATTTGTCTTCGTAAATCGGCACCATTTCATCCTCCTTGGCCAAACACAGTCGGCACAGCTCGTTTACATGGATGATTACGTTACTCGGACTGTCGCCCTTTTTTCTGCTGTACGTTTTCATCGTTGCTTTATCCGCCCGTACGTCTTTTTCTCGCTCAAGTTAGCCAAATCAGCCCTTTTCCTCTGTTTTTTTTATCTCTCCCTCTACTCTCTTCGAATCCGCGACAAGTGAAACGACGGAGCAAAATCCTCGAAGGCGCGAACAACGGAGTTTTCCGTGAGAAGTCGCAATTGCGAAGATACTCGGTCACTCACAACGGAATCTATAATGGCGGTCGTCCGTTATGGCGAACACGCTCCACAACGGTGGCGCTGTCGTCGACGAACATGGCAGCATTGCGCGATGGAGAAAGCAGTGACCGCGCGCCCAAGTGCGAGAGGGAGGGCAATGACAAGCCGCGCGAGCGTAAGCAAGAAACGAACATAGGAAAATGGCGGTTGCGCGAATTGCGTCGCAAGATGAGAGAGGTAATTTCCGCGCGCGTAAGAGTCGGTAAGGGCGATTGCTATTATTGATTTTCCATTCTTCCCAACGGCGGGAAATGCGAGCTCTGCCCGACTTCTCCCTTTTGCTGTTCAAGATTTTGGGATGTGTCTGCTGAGAAAACGAAGGGTAAGCAACCGCGCACGTTTCTTCAGTAGTTTTTTAGATTGGGGCTCGACAAATGAGCGAAATTGTCCGATCTCACTATTCCCGATCTTCACGGAAAGAAGTAGAAAATATTATCTGTGAAACGTGTGACGGGTAATAATTCATACATTGTAATTGCATGTTCTTTATGTGCAGATATATCGACAGATCTTGCGTTCAGTTTCATCAACCGTCTCTCTCTGATAATATTTTCACGCCGATAAGCGGAAGATCTAGTGTAATCGCTTTGATATAGATCTGAATCAAGTTATATTTGTGAAATTTGTGGCTTTTGCCAAGTTTCACTTATTTAATCCTTATATACTAATTACAAAGTTTTCATATGATTGTAGAACTGACACAAAAAATAAGATGACGAAAATCACACATTTGTCTTCGTATATTTTACTCATTTTATATAATTAAGACCTTATTTTTTAAGAGAAAGTTGGGATAAAAATTTTATTTTAAAAACTTTCTTTAGCATTATTTAAAAATTGAGATTTAATATAGATATTACACAGTCTTAACAATATTAATAAATTAATTGTTAATAATATGAGAAATTATAGTTAGGGATAACATGCTTGTTCTTCATAAAATATGAATTGTTTCAACCATAGATTTTCTGCTAAAACTTAAATATTGTTTACAGTAACTATTGCAATTTGATGGGCGCTTTGTAAAAGCATCGACCAACCATAACAATATAAGACGCGCTATGGTTTTTCTTCGGAACAAATGGAAACTGTGGGAACAAGGCAAAGTACGACGTCAAACTACTTCGGCTAGATTTATTTTCGTTTGCATTAGCGAGATGAGTTACATGGCGTACGATTTACCGGCAGCAAGCGCTGGCGTGCCTTCAATTTTACGTGGCGCAAAATTTTCAACGAAATAAGAACATGTTAGATATTCAATGAACCCAACTCGTCGGAGTTATCAAATGTGAATAGACAATCAGTCTTTTTGTTTCGATGCGAGTTGCCTAAAATGAACGATGGTATTTCTCTCTCATTGTAGTTATTGATTGTTAAACTATTTAAATAAGATAAAATTTCTTTAAGTACAAAAGAGTGGATGAAAATAGGAAGAAAAAGAAAAGAAGACATATGTGTGATAGTAATTCAGAGAAATCTGCTTTGAAGTTTGCAATATGTTGTAATATATTGTAAAAGTACGAGAACTGACACGTAATCTAAGTTTTGATTACTTGCGAAAATAGTGAAGTACTTGGTGCTTCATACGTGATTACGTCTTAACTTTTTTCTGCCAAGTTTCGAACTTTTATAATATGTACTTCGAAAAACGTGTAGTAATATGCATGAATAACCGAAAAAGCAATACCTATGTTCCTCAACAATATGCGAGAAAGTCTTCTATGTAATATTTAAAACGCACGTCGATAAATCAGCGATTCTAATGTTATTAAATTTAATGCAAATGCATCTGACGTGTTTCGCATTCGTTCTTTAATAAAAAAAAAAAAAAAAAAAAAAAAAAAAAAAAAAAAAAAAAAAAGCCGATAAAATTCGACGTGCGTCGCGCAGTTTACACGCGATTTTATTGTCGCGCACGTTTTGCGAAAAAGAAATAAAGATGGATAAGAATATACGCGGCATGTCACACGATGTTTCTATACTAAAATTAAAACGCCTCAATTGCGCGATCGTCGACGTGCTCTCATACCGCTCGGGCTCATATGGATCGTGACGAAGCGCGACTGGACTTTCGGAAGGGAAGTGCGGGAAAATGCGACGCGAGGCTTTCCCGCGATTGCCAGGAAATCCGCCGAATACCGCGAGCGCTAAAGAGAGAAAGAGAGAAAGAGTGAGATAGAGAATGAGAAGATCTCAGAATTCGAAAATAACCGCAAACGAGGGAAGAGACAAGAGGGCACAGAACGAATTCGTCGGTTCCGGGTAAAGGAGGGGAGTTTCCCTGACGATGGGTGTCTTCTGCTGCTCTCCGGTGCTTTCGCTTTTCCGCGAGTCCAGTGTGTTTCGCCAACCGAGAAACCCGCGTACTCCACGTATATTAACGCGAAGGTAGGTGTCGCGTTCTCGGCGCATTGTTCTCGTTATCATCGTTATTATTATCGTCATCTTTGTTGCGTTATGTGGAAAAACTCGCGAAAATCGAAGACTTGACTAAAAGAGAGAAAACACTCGTAAAAAAAAAGAAGAAACGATCACGAGCACAGGTGATCAAGGAAAGAGTGTGAAATATCGAAAATATATAAAGTTTAAAAAACAAAAACCAAAAAAACAAAACGAATAGAGCGTAAGTAGCGCTTCGAAAATAAAGTCAAAAATCGATCGATCACGCGCGGTCTTTGTACAGTTGGCTACTTAATTGGTAGAGCGGTACTCGATTATCAGTCTTAGCATTTAACTGTCTAATTGTCAAGAGATTTTAGGCCAAGTCGTCGCAATTAATTGTAACTGAAAGAGTAAAAATTATCGAATAATTAAAATAATGGCTTCGCGCGCATATATTATTCAGAATGATTCACGATCGTTAAAGATCTTTTAAAACCTTGATCTAAATATGTACTTATTTAAGCGCAGTTTTTGTGACATTTATTATTGTTTTTTATTAAGACTGATTTGTTGTTTTCTTATGAATCCGAGTTTCTATGTTACTAAAAAAAGAATTTAATTTTTTTTAAATTGTTACAAATAATTGTTATTTGTTAAAAAAAAAAAAACTGTCAAAAATAAGACGTTCCAACATCGGGAGGAACATTTTGTTGTAGATGTGAAGTATTGATTAAAATTTATGGGATGTTCTCGACACGTTGCCCTGTCTATTCGTATCACTTATGACTATCGCCGACAAATCTGTCACATGATTGCCAAAAGTCCACTTATACGCAACGTTACACCGTATCGTTGAAATAATCAGCCAGAAATAGGCGTCGTGTGTGCGTCACGTCTGTAAACAACACACAATGCGGAAAAGTCGTCACCTTTTCTGTTTTTGATCGGGCGATAGCTTGCGATTGTTTGCGATAGCATATATAATTTCACAAATAATAAGTGAATTAAATAAATATTACATGTTGTAAATCAAACTAGATTTTAGAATATGTTTGTAATTAATTACTTTTGATAAAGACATGCGCACGTATGAGTTTTATAAATTTTTAAATTTTTTGTTAGATAAGAGATGTGTTCTCCCGTCGAAAAGTTTTTCGAATCATATAATAGATTGATAGCGAGTATTACCACTTGTTGATTATATCGTTATTCAGGGGATAATTACGTAACTGGACAAATCGATCGATATTAAAGAAATCTGACCGGGTGTATATGTGAGCGATGGTCAAGATCCCGGTGAGACCGCGAACATCATTGTCTACCGAAAAATACACCAGTCTTAGCCTTATCTTCGATTGAAAATTACCGCGTCCTATTATCCTTGACTCGAACAAAATTAAATCGAATATAACAATGAAATCAATCACTTTGCAGTCAAGTTTTTATATCAATGTGTTTTAGATATATATTATTTTATATTAATTAATCAATAAGTTTATCGCGAGTGACAGTTATCGTAGCGATTACTGATAAGCATGTAAATGATCAGACTGACATACATTCGCGCTATTGATGTCGACCGATTTTTCTTACGAGACGCGAGCTGTAATGTAATTCAATACCCGGAGAAGCGCGCGCGCTCCAAAGATCCACAGCTGGTAAGAGGAGGGAGAAGTAGAGATTTTGCGGACGATGTAGATATATTCGGAGGAATTTCTAGGCAAAAATAACCACGGTAGGCCACTGATGGCTGCTCAACAGCAACGCGTCAGAGAGAATCCGAGATGTTCGATGAGTTAAACAGGTTTCTTGTGTTTGTGTGTCTTCAAAGATGTGAGAAAACACAATTAAACAGAGAGAAAAAACGCTTATAAAAAATATAAATACATTATCTCAGACTTTTGTTTATATAAGAAAAGAGAGCGATATAAATACTCGAAGTTATGAATAAAATGCAAAACGCGTGCTCGAGATTGCCAGAGAAACGCATTAGAATTAGATCACTGCAATTCCACAAAAGAGAGAGATACGCAATGACATATATTTTGCTTCTTGTTGAAATACAGAGAATTTATATTCTGGGTATCAAGTGTGGAGAGAGAGATGCAGACGCATATTTTTGTTTTGACAAACACGTCAACAACTCTGATAAATTTACGCGAAAAACTCTCGCCCTCGATAGTGTCTCTGCTTTTTTTTTTCGGGCTTTCGCGACATTAATTTTTTCTACAGCGCACAAAGGAGAGATGTATTACGAGAGGAGTGATAAAGGTGTCGTTTGTGACGCGAGGGATATCTTTTGCGTTAAGCGCAAGACGCGATAAACAGAAAATGCATTTTGGTTATTTCAGGGCTAGAGCATATGTCAGTGAACTCACGAAAAGAATCGATGTCTCCAGTCTTGTCTGCAGAGGAGTCAGACATATGCGACTGAAATAACATGTTTTGCGCAATAAACCGATGTTCCGATCGAATATTCGATTTGCTTATTCCTGCGCGAATTTATTGGCATCACTACTAGATATATAATACTTCGCTGTAGTTATAGAGAATCGCACAGAATTTGTGCAAACAATCGTTAAACGATTTTCGCGATGACAACTTTGTGACCTACTTCTCTCCAAAGGGTCGCTCTTTGGCGCCGCGCGATCAATTTGGAACGCGATGCACGCGTGTGACTCACGCGTCGAGTAAGGATTATTTGTTCATCACGTGGACTTGTTGCTGATTAATAACTGTAATTTTTTGTAAATTGCGTTAATGCAAATAGGCGTTATTTCGATCGAACAACATTGCACAGCTGGTTGTTACCTGATGGCAAAACAAACAATTATCTCTATTATTTATTGTTGTCGTTCGGAATTTTATTCGCACACGCGCAACTGTTTGTGTTTTATAAAACACAAATATATTTGCAAGAGATTTTCTCTGATACAGCGGAGTATTTGGCAGAATTCACGTGCAAACAGCGCGGCGATGGTAGATTAATGACACGCGTGCCACTTGCGGCACGCTTAAGCACAAATAATGTCACATAATATCGTATAATATCACTTCGAGTGATAGAAACTAACGAGGAAAAATCTAAGTGCATTCGGACGTGGAATATATTGTTTTTCACATCCTACGTTTTCTACGTTTTGTTCTCCAAGCATTTTCTGATTTATCTCATTTGTCTTTTATATACATGTTACAGTAATTGGAGACAAGATTAATTACACCAAACATGGCCACCCAAAAAAGATTCGTGAACAAACAGTTCAATTCTCCTATCAATTTATATTCACCACAAGCGATACAAGAAACTCTGGATAAACAGACTCAAGTGTTGGCCAACGGTGCTGTCGGGTAAGTTCAATTATTTCTTGTGCTATGCAAAATTCTACATTTTTTCTACTGACTGATTTTTATTATTTTTTTACGTTACTTAAAACTGACTCATAAGTGAAAGAATATACTGACGGAACCAATATATTGTCGAGACAGCCTTAGAGTCAACGACCACCTTGCGTCAATCATCGAGCATCAGCCTTCTGCAGTCCACGTGTCCGCGTGATCAGCCGATGCGATGTCAGTCGCGCGACGACGCCGCGTGAATCAGCCGTTGTCGCGGCGTCGATTGCGTTTCTCGCGAACGTCAGTCACTGACAGACGCGGTACGTTATTTTCAGAGAGTCGAATCACCGACCGGTTAGAAATAAACGGCCGACGGAGGCCGGACTCGTTGTCGGCCTGCGCGAAGCCGACGACGGTTGTGTGTTATAACCCGCGTCTCTTCGTACTTGACTTAGTTTCGCGTTTGATTGGCCGCGAGCGCGCGCCGGTTCTTGTATCCTCGTCGCGTCGACATTTTTCTTGTCAATGATGATTGCCACGAAGAGGTGATGCACAGACAAGAATTAAAAGCATTTTTTTAAAGTTTACCAAAATTTTTAAAAATAGAAATATCGATCGAGAAACACAAGTTTCTACAGTTTTTGCATTTACTGTAAAACATGTTTTATATTGCTGTATGTTGTCAACGTGTAATATATTGCGCTTGAACGTGATTTTCTTCTTTCAGAATCGACTTCACCCAGTTGGCCAAGCCAGCGAACCTGCAGAACAGCGCAGTTCTACGTATGCTTGAAGAAGAAGAAGCGAGACAGCGCGGTGGTCAGCCTAGTAAGTTCAAAACAAGTTTTGTGTATGCCAGAAATAATGAGCAATTAGAATTGCCTTAAAGCCGCAATCTTTTTTCAAATGTCTATATTTTGATAAATAACAAAGATTAATGCGGTATAAATAAAAATTGGATCTGGAATTATGAATGTTCTGAGGTCTATTGTTGTGTCTACATTGTAAGAAAGCACGATGATTCACAAATGCAAATATCCCAAACAGTTTCACGGTTCATGATCGATCATCAGTATCAATTTCCTAAAACCGACGCTGGTGTATCATGTTCAATTTAGCATGACCCAGCTATACTCTTGTTCTTACCGCGTAAGCATTATTGCTTTGGCCGCTGCTCAAGAAATTTCGCTAGATTAGTAACACCATTTTGCGCGAAACATATGAGTCTTTCAGTTCGTGAATGCCGATCTTTATACTCGAGAATTTCTTTGTTGGATACGCTGCATTAATTCTTTGTTAAAAATCAAAAGAGTACAAAGAAATTTTTAATTTTCATAAAATGGGCCAATAAATATTAGCGAAAGACGAAGAAACTCTATCTGTTAATTCTACTGATAACTACAAAAAGATTACCTACAATAATCTAATTTTTTCAGAAATAAAAAGAAACACATATAATAGTGTTAAAACGTTTCTATCGTTCAAATTTAATAGCATACAGATAAAATCACTGAAATATATGTCAAAAGTAATTCGCTTTACGCGACGTTGGCCCTCTTCAGGGACGCGGACCGTTTCTTCTTCTTGATCGAGCGCAATGTCAACCCCCACTTTTTGGCCAGTTACCAGAAAGACTCTAAAATCGGTAGCCAGCTAGTTTCCGCGATAATGAAAGGTACAGGTGACTCCGCCATAGCGTTTAGTAGTTGGCGGGTGTCCGTTTTGGCAGAGTCGTGTCCTCCTCGTCGGGATTGCAGCGCGGTGGAAACTCACGCTGTGGATTCGCAACAGTATGTGACGCGTAGAATCCGGAATTGTGTTTATTAGTTGCCAGCAAATTTGCATTTCGTGATTAACGACGCGCGACCGCATATTTGTCGCAATCGTTCGGCCGTTTGTGTTGCGACACGCTTGAATTCGGCATAAAGAGAGCTGCGTAATGTTTATTAATTACATTAAGATTGTACATCGTTAAATACTATTTTGAGCAAGACGATAAAATCTATGAATCGAATCAGTAAAATTGTTGCGTTCATCGATGATTACTGTGTAGTGAAGAAAAATAGAACAAGTAACACATCAACAGACTCTCACAAATCTTTATTATTATCGTTTCTCAGATCTTAAGCGAGTAGCTTGGCCGCCACCTCCAGAGGATCAAGACTACGATTACGTGGAGCAAGCTCCCGTTCAGGCGAAGGTAAGACGACGAATAATCAGAACAACAGCATATGCTTACGTCGCTCTGATAAGAAAAAAGGCAGCAAGTGGCAAGATAAATTATTGAGCTTATAAAATATACATAAGTAAATTAAAAAAAAATAATTTATAAGTAAATTGAAAAACAACCTCAATTGTTGCGCAAATAACTTGATGCCTTTTTCATGGAATATCAGAATCTTATTGATTCAAAAAGAGAATAAAGAAATACGAAACAACTGTAATATTTGAGCAAACGATATAAGTAAAACTCATTGTAATAGTTTTAAGAACATCCAAAAGGACACTTTTGCATTGCAAAAACACACACACACAGATACTTTTTTGAATGTCTACGTGTTGTATGCATTTTTTTCGTAATATTATTTATCTCTCTCCAATTAGTGCGACATAGCTTCTCCTGCATCTTGCCATGCTTGTGAGTGCAACGATGTTCGTTACGTGTTTCTTTTTATGTATTTGTTTTTTACGTTTATTTATTTCTCCCCATATCCGACATGATCCGATCGCTTTTGAACGCAATCGCGAGATCCACCATTGTGATCGTCGAGAGGTAAAAGGGATTACGCATGTCTTTCCGTACTGTGTCTCGCGAATTCTCGTAAATATAAAAATCATCACTCTCTCGTTCCATCATCTATCTCTTCTTCAGCGAGAGAGCAGCAGGCTATAGTTCGTTCGCTCGAGTCTCTATACAAAATTATCTCTATTTTCCTCCAATAAGACCCGTGGATACGGTGATCCCGGCTCCTTCCAGAGCAGCCCTTCCTCGTCAGGTCCATCACCCCAACCATCCTCGACGGTCGCACGGTCATCAACACAGAGCGCTGTTCCGTCGTCCCCGTCGCCGGTTAGTCCTAGCGGCACGCTCCTGCGACAGCCCTCGCACTTCCAGCAACAACAGACAGCTGCTACATCCTGGGCGCCGGTGACACCTCCGGCGACCTCGCCGCTGTTGCAACAGCAGCCTCCATTTCCGAGACAGAAGCAACAGCAGCAACAGGTTCAGTCTTGGCAGGTAAGTGATGGCTCGCATGTGAACGTGACCGACGGTCCCTCGCAAGTGCGGAAGACTTTGAGGACTCACTCTTGGTCAGAGACACAGCAAGGATTGTGTTACCTGCAATTCTGGACACGGAGTTTGTGCCTTATACGTGTTTACGACCAACCAATTGTCAGTAATTATAAAATATTTACGTATATATACATATATACATATATATATGTCAGTTGTGTACACTTTGGCGCGATAAAACGTTTTTTTTAATGGTAGTGAAGATAGTTTTGCGTGAGTGTGACTGACTCGTGATCCCGAGTGCAAAAAATTTTAAAAGAATCTTCTGCGTTTCAGCAACACCCTCAGGATCCATACGACCGGGCACCGCAGAGACTACCGAATCAACCGCTTTCTGCGGCGTTCGAAGCACCACCTTCCACTATCGTTCTGCGTCCTGAGCCGCCTATTTCACAGGTGAGAATCCAGCAGTTCGAGAAATGTAAAATTCACTGACAAGTAATTTTATTTTTAACAAATGTGTATTTGTCAAATTTGTGTCTTCTTTTATGTATATTTTAGAAAACGTGTTTGACGCTTTTTTTATGTAACATTAAAGATTCACTATCGGCAGCGAAACGCGTCGACATGTTTATGTTCGATGTTGTATTACGTTTTCTAAACGAATGTAATTCTGCTAAGAATAACGCAGCAATATCGCACACGCCTACGAGCCTTGCGCATAATACCGCAGGAAAATTTTACGAAAATACGAGAAATCTCGAGAGAATGAGAGAGAGAGAGAGAAGTAACGCACTGTGGAGAGCAATATGATATAATATAATATGATATTTGTGCGGAAGTGTATTGCACGCGTGCTGGTCGTGCCTTTGGCAGCATATCAGCCGTTAAATATACGGCGTCCTCGTCATTCGGGCAAAGCATCGATTACATCGCTTGTCCGAAATTTACGTCTAAGAATATCTCGCCGTTTCTAATCCGACTTTAAAGAATAATGTTTTCCGCGTCACTAACAAAAATGTTGCTCTTCTAAATGTTTTCGCGATTTCCACGAAATGCCGAAATCTTTCGCACACTTCTGGACTCGCGATCTTGTTATTTAACACTTGGAATAAAACAAGCAAAATATATAAATCGAAACGAAATGCAGAAAATAAATTGAATAAGTCGAACATAAAATATTATAATACAACGAGGTATTTTCTCAACGGAGAAATAACATAACATTCTTCGAAATGTTTGAATATTGCAATTTATCCAGTGCTTCATTTTTATCTTCATATCCCGCTACCACTAGACACCTGCACCGGTGTACCAAGCTCAACCAGCAGCGACCAAGGCTCCCGCGACAGGCAACATGCGAGGTGATCTAAAGTGGCCGCCGGCCAACGTAAAGGCCCAGGTTGAGGCAGAAAATCGCGCCAGAATGGATCTCGCTAAAGGTCCCGCTTTCAGGCCGCGTCGAGTGCAAAAGGACTACAGCGGTTTCTTCGCGCAACACGCCTTAAACAACTCGTATCCGGGCTATCGAGCTCCGCCAGGCACTCAATATTTCACCCCGGCTTACCACCATTAGTGAATATTCCGATTTCGCGAACAAATGCACGAGGTACCGCCTCTGAGTCTCTCGCCGAGAGAAATCGAAATCATCGAGATGCTCAGGACGCTGTGCGCAGACTTCTCGAGATCTGCAAAGAATCGGAGAGGCACATGGAGAAAGATGTACACATGATATTATTTTATAAAAATTTTAATATTATTGCAATGAATAGAATTATCCGCAAAAAATTTCTCACGTAATTCTTTTATTGAAAACAAGTCTGTAGATCGTGTTACTACTTTCACAGAATGTGGTCCAGAAAAGAAGTCTTAATTTTTTTTTTTTTTTCTTGTTTTCGCGTATTGTCTTCATGCACTTCTCAGGTTTTTCAGAGAGATTTCGAATTTCAACAAACTCGTTTACATTTCAGAGACTGAATGGTTGCCTTTTATCTTTCAGGGTAACGTAAATTAATTACCAAAGTTTATTTGAGATGGCATTCGGTTTATTATCAATCTGGACAATTGTCGTTCAGAAATGTCCTTATTTGTGAGCACTGCGTTCATACATCACACACACACATACACAACACACGCACACACAAACAATAATACAAAATAGAAATATATTTACATTTTTGCTTGTGTTAACGTATCTCCAAGTTTGGGAATTTCTGATAAAATGTATTTTTTCATTGTGATAGAATTAAATGTCGTGAACAATACAGATTTATAAAACTAACGCTTGCCATTACAAATCATCAAGAGTGACAGATCACAAAAAGGTGCTTAAAAGATTTCGAGTGATAGTGGCAGATTGTACTTCTCTTTTTTGCGAAAACAGTCACGATATGGTAAAGTAACGACCAGCGAATATAATATACGAAATAAACGATCGAATTATATGAATGCATAATTGATTGTATATTTATCTACATATAAATACCGAAGCGCAACGCATTTTTTGTAACGCGATTCGGCAACGGTCTGTCCGTTATAACTAACCGACGAATAATTTTTAATAAATGTAATATATAATATATTAATATGTGAATAAATAAATATCTCCTTATCAATTTACATAAGAATATCAACAGACGCCAGTGCAGGTAATTACAACATGTGATATATATAAATTTTTGTGAAATTTATAATAAAGTCATTATTATATGTAGGAAACATTGATTTTATAGATAATAATTTTTATTATTTTTTCTTTGACTTCAGAATACAAGAGGCATCTCTATGTATAAGTATTAACAATTTACAAAATAGTTTGCATGTTTATGTATATGAAATCTCAACATTACAAAAGAATATAGCTGGAATCTATGTATAATATATATATATATACACACACACATATATATATATATATATATATATATATATATTTAACTCGAAACATCTAAAATCATCTAAAGTCGTATTCTTAAAAAACAAATATATCGCGACAAAATAAACCTAAAAACATTTTGTCCATTAAGAACAAATGCACTAATTGTTTTTTTGGAGTTGTTCTTTCACATTCACAGAACAGAGTTACGTTGCTAATTTTATTTCTTTCATTTTAAAATATGGACTTGCTCTCTCATTCTGTAACTATTAACAATAATTCCGTTATTGTTGCGCAGCTATTTTGTAATGCATGACATTTGCGTAGAAAAGTTACAGACCAGATGATCGCGATCAGTAGTTTTATCTACTCCGTTGAGATTTTAACTTAACGAAATTAAACCATAAAAACTAGACTCAATCGATTGGTTACGTTAACCGGAGTTGGGTGCTTGTCCTTTTATCATTTATATGTTTATGATAAGGGGTTAAAAATATAATTCTGGAATCAACAACATGCCTGAAAATATTGTATAAAACTCTTGAAAACAGTTACGAAACACATCTTCGCGTTAAAACAATTCTTGTTTAATCGCTTAAATAACTTTCCCTGAGTATATCATCTTTCTTGTTCTCTTCATTCAGATACATCTAAGCATTGTAAATTAAATTCTCGTAGTTTTTTCCTAACGCTCAAAATTCATTGAGCAACAAGTTCGCTAGCGCGCGAGTAATACAATTCCTTTCTAACATCAATCGAAGCTCATACAGCAATATCCGGTATAAATACGATTTTATCCAGTTATTATAACACTGCGTTGTCACTTTTATATACATAGCTTCATTATATAATAAACATATTGATGCCCTTACAAATATCCGGCCTCAGTCTTAAATCGAAAACATTTATCCGGACATTATTGCAATTGTTTTGTATAACCCTCACAATGCAGCAAAATTTTATTAAGCCTACATCAAATTTTCTATTTGAGATTATAATAAAAAATAAAATGTGTGTTGATACAGAAAGTTTAATTTATATCGCAATATTATATTATAAACTTCTATTTTTACAAAACTTTCTGAGACTTTGTTTTTCAGAAAATTTTAAAAACAATGAGTAATCATAAATCGTTCGGCATGTTTATGAATTAAATCATAAGCTACAGGTCAGCGAGTTTTCAAGTTTAAATTTTGCAGAAACTGTGTTATTTATCACGTAACATATTTCCCAAATTCGTGCTTACACAGTTTCTTTGATTTTTTTGTATATTACAGTGTGCCAGATTCTAATATTGTCAGTTTATTCATGCTTTCTATATATACATTATTTTATGCGATTGACTACTGATTTAGGCGCGCATTAAATGATAGCGTTCATTTTTATTGACTAGATATCGAAAAGCTTAAGTTACAGCCAACTTTTGGGTCGATTTTTTGGCCGTTCACGACCCGCTACATTCTCTTCTTATCTTTCATTTTAACGAATCACTGTTATTCTTCAGTGTGTTTCATCATCTCCGATTTTCAACTGTGTATGACAACTGTCAATTTAACAAGGTTGTCATAACTGTGTATGACAACCTTGTTAAATAACTAAATCAATTTCAATGCTGATTAATTTCATTGACGGTTATAAATTAATCGGAAATGGTGAAACCGGATGTTTCAGAGTAAGTGCGCGACGCTCCATCTCAGTTATACAAACGGTTTATTGCTAATATCATACAAGAGACGAGAATATAGCAGGCATTAACACGCTTTTAAAATAGGCTCAAAAGTGCAACTTAGCGCCAACTCTGGTTTGAGCTATAGATTTATACGTGCGGATGAAATTTGTATGAAGGTATTGCAGTTGTGATATCAGGAACTTATTATTTCGACCAATATTTCATTTTCAAATTTATATGACAAATTTAATATGCAAATGGAGTTAACAATTGTTAGCTAAAAAGGCTTCTTATGTTTCACCTTCACACAAGCGAAAATCCTTGATTGTGCTGGATAGCTTGTAAAAGTTTGTATCTCAATCTTTCTTTTGTTTGATAACGCGGCAGATCAAGCAGATTGAAACACGTGTGTGCCGCCGGTAGAAACCGTTCATCCGTCATTGGTTGTATTATTATCTATACAAAGAGTAATTAGCGAGTTAATTTGTTTTACACATTACAACGTTGTTGAAACCATACTCTGTTCTTACCTTGATAGCCTTCATACCCCATATAGGTATTCTGTCACTGCCTGTCAAAAAAAGTAAGAATTTTTTTTTGTCTTCCAACGACAACTCGTGAAAGACTTGCCAAAAGAGTACAATAGTAGGATCGTTTTTCGTGTAGCCCTCTTTATAGCTGGCATTTCTTTCTAATTCTTCCCAATCGTAATTTTGATTTCCTATTAACAGTGACATCAGTTCGTGACTATGGAAGAGTTTTAAAATTCTTCCACCGCACACCTTGTGAAAACCTTTGGAAAATGAACTAAAATGCGGCTCTACCGACGTGTTCAGTATATAATTCACATAAAGATTTACATACTGTTGCCTGCGGATAAGAAAACATTTCAGACACACTTTTTTGCCTAGTCATCACTATCGGTGTTGATACGCACTTATTTTTTAACGTTACAGAGATTTCCTTTCCGTTAGGTAACAATTCGACACTTATTTGTTCGCCGAACGCTTCTCTGGTGATTTCGAAGTTTAAACAAAATACCTCCTCAAAGTCTTCTCCATTGTAATCGAGAATACTTTGTAGGCTACTGCAATTTTTAATGCGCACATATATTAATATCTTCACTCAAGCGCACCAATATTTCAGAATGTACGTTATGATTAGAAATATACAAAATACGACATACTTAGCCATTACCGGTGACAGACCCTTTATATCATTCAGTCCAACTGGTTCGCCCAAAAGTTTTTTATACAAGGCTAACGGGAACGGTAAATCAATGATGGTAAAGTTATAAATAGCCAAACCGCAGAGAACTCCAATAAGAAAATACATAACTTGATCTTCGAGCGAGTCTATGCTAAACCAGATCGTATTTGTCTCTTCGTATTCTTTAAACATACCGTATTTCGGATCAAGAATCTCTCGTAAGAGCAGTAAGAAAAATTCCTTTTTTACACCACCTACATCTTCGGCTTCCTCACCGTAAAATTTAACCTGAAAAAATTTATAAGAAAAAAATAATATTTAGAGTATCACAATCTTCCGATATAAAATCTTACGCCTTTTTTAACATTGGAAAGATATATATATATATATATATATATATATATATATATATAAAGTTTATGCTTACTCTAAGTGGTTTCTTCAACTCGCTAGAATCGTATTGTTGTAATTGTGACAAAGTATCCGTGACTATGTTCTCCCGTGACACGTTCAAGATTACATATTGATTATACTGTTGAGTGTTGATCGGATTAGGTACACCAAACACTATATCTCTGACCGCCCGTGACGCTGCTTCAGTCATCGCGGATTGCATCTAAAGTAAATAAAACATAATTGTGGAAATGCATACTATCTAAATGTTCTAAGTTTAATTTGCGTGTTTCTCTTTTTTTGTACCTGTATAGACTGATCGGTTTCGAGCAACGTAGCCTTCGTTTCGGCATCGAAGAGAAAAGAATAATCACAAAAGTATAATTTTCGCTGAGGCTGAAAAATGATAAAAAGAATTCTAATACCATACTTATGGAATGATTTCAGAAAATCACTTGCAAGTACCTCGATCGATATCCATCTGAGATAATCGTCGTTGATATCTATGTATTCTGGTAATTCACGCAAGTAGAAAGTCTCGTAGGGCACAATTAGGCCTGTTTCATTATCCCTGTCTTTATTTAGATTATATAATATTTTTAACAGCTCCAGGGCACTGTGCAGACTATCATTCCACGTAATTCTCTGTAAAACATGTTCTAATTTAAAAAATATTGCTATCTATAGAAAAAAAAAAATTTCAAGATCATTTATTTTCATAAAATTTCGTATCTTCGTAACATCAGTTGTAAGTAATAGTATACGATTTTTAAGAGATTCAAAGAAATTGTACTCTCAAGATTTTATTTTCTATGCGATTAATCGTGTGTCATTACCTTGTCCGTGATTTGCGACACAAAGTCCATCACTATGGATTTGTAAATCCTCACCAATCTCTCGTAATAGTACGTCGGAGTACTAGTCCACCATGTACATATGACTTTCGAAGCCTCCAACTTCAGGCGCATCATGGCCTTGCCAAATGGTATTTGTAACAAACTAGAGTTCGAAACTTTTGCGAAACCATGATAGAGTGGTAAAATTAAGTACACTCTCAAGGCTTCCACGTCGGGTGGAGATACCGAAAAGGATGGTATTAGACTTTGAGTTATACATACAAAAATCTAGAACATAGATAAACAATGTTGCTATTAAACAATCGAGCAACATTTTATATATTATCTGTCTTATATATTATATGTACCAGTTCTTGAATTGTGGTATTGTCCACTTCAGAGAGACTTCCAAACAATTTTATCGTGTAGTCAATGTCGACACCATGATGTTTACTTGAGCATCCATAATGAGTATCATTAGCAAGTAAACAAGACGCATTTATGCACGCTTGACTTCTGAATACAGTTTCTATGTATCTAAAAACGTTAAATAAAATTGCAATCTCACTCACGAGAAGACAACAATCGTTTTTATAAAATATAATATTTTTACTCACGTCATTACTTCATGACTAATCGTTGCGCCTGCCGGGAACTCATGAAATTCGGCTATCTTTTCCTGTGTCACTGTAAGAATTTGGGAAGTTGACCCTAATATTCTACAGTCATCTGGTTCTATATTATCCTGCAGATATTTAAGCAGAAATACTGTTTTTATACATATATTACCACGAAAAAAACAAAATAAAATGTTTCGTCGCGTTCAGTCCTCATTCTTTCTCGATATAGAAACAAAATGAAAAAAACAACAGCTAATTTAAACTTAAAACTCAAATAAAAAGCTGCGTGAAAATATGAGAAAAACACACTTTTCTTGGGACAATAGTTGCAAAGCAATGATCGCCACCACTGAAGATGTGTTTAACGACACAGTCACTCTGAGGAATATAGTATGAATCGAGTAGCATGGATGATCCATTTCGAGACGACCATGGTCCTAGAACGACTTGCGGCGTTGTAGCACTCTGAGATGCGCGATTACCCAATTGCCCAGCACCTCCTAGACCCCAGGCATAAATTTTACCTCTAGACGGGACTAAGGCCAGAGTATGCCTTTTACCACATGATATCTGCATAAATAGAAAGTAAATATGTTTATAAATTTATACAAAAGTATAAATGTATAAACAAAACTTATAGTTTTATCAAAGATAACTCACTTGTGTTACTGTGCTACCCATTAGTTCCATTATCTGTCGCGGTAAGATCTCATTCATGTTGTTCCCATGGCCTAATTGACCATACATTCCAGCACCACAAGTAAATACTCCTCCATCCTGAAAGAATGTTTTCCACAGAAAGTTACTTTTTGTAAAAACAAAAATTTTTCAACCCCAAGAAAAATGCAATGCAATTTGATAATAAAATTTACCAGTGTTAAAAATACAGTAAATTCTTCACCACACGCGGCATAACACACTTTTGCATTTTTCAAAGTACGCAATTTACATGGCAAGTTTCTCTGTTTTGTATCATTCAGTCCTAATTGTCCGAAGACATTCCGTCCCCAGGCAAACACAGATCCTGTTCAAAGAAACAACAAAAACAGAACTCTGTGTTAGCGTAGAGTCGAACTATATAAGTGTATCTAATTGCTTATGTATAAATAATGTTTCCAGAGATTTACCTGATTTTGATATGACTATGGTGTGATATCCTCCACATGCAATAAATGCAATTGGTACAGCAGCTAAGGATGAAATTATCGTGGGTTTTCTTTCAACGCTTATGTCTTCACTTATTCCTAGTTGTCCCTCTTTATTACTACCCCACGCATACAATTCTCCATCGTTTGTTAGAGCAATTGAATGCTCCTTACCACATGCAATCTGTACTACCACTCTTGTAGCCATTGCTTTCACCATGCGTGGTATGCGTTTTGTTTGTTCATTGTTGTTTAATCCTGTAAGAATATATGCACTATCTTTATTACACTTGCAAATAATATATCTTATTATAACAGATTGTACAAGAGTATATATGTTACCTAATTGGCCCAACTCATCATTACCCCAACCGAAAAGTTGTCCCCATTCATTCACAGCCAAGGTGTGACTGTTACCACAAGCTATTTTTTTGAATACAAATGCCTCTAAATCAGGTATCAACTCTATGTACAAAATTTACAACTTTTAGTAAACATTGCTAAGATATTTTTTCATGAAATACCAGATATCTAACATAACAGTTGACTGAAAATTTTATTATACTCACGTAACCTTTTTCTTGCTTTTTCATGACCAAGTTGTCCATAATCGTTATTACCACAGGAATATACTTTTCCATCCTTTGTAATAGCTACTGTATAATTTTCTCCACATGCAACTACAAATATTGGCTTATAATTTTATAACATGTATAAATAATATTTTTACATGTATATAAATTTATTTTTTAGAAAAATATAGAAGTTTACTTTGTTCAATGTTATCAGCTTCTATAAAATCCACTTTTCGAGGCATGAATATATTCTCATCCTCGATACCACCTAACCCCAATTCTCCATGAATAGCACTGCCCCAGCAGAACATTATGTATGTGTTAGATCTATGTCGTTTTTCTGTCAGATTGGTTTCATCTGTAGTCAGTTTTCTTAATCTGCTTGCCTATATAGTCACAAAAATATATTGAAATATGTTATTATATTGATATAAAACATATATACATATACACACATACTTATGTACAAACATAATACATACACACATATAAACTTTATCAATTATTATTTGATTATCAATACAACAGTTGAAAATGCATTCAAACATATTATTATTGACATTGTATATATTTGCTTAAATAAGTCAATAATTAATTAAAATTTTCAACATTATTTTATTTTTGATTAATTAATTTTTAATACATACATATCTAAGTTTTATATATATTTTTCTTATATCTTTTATAACACTTCTCTCCACATGTTATTTAACATCTGATTCTATATTTATGATCTTGTATTTCACATAATTGTATTTAACAAAGTGACTAACTCTCAAATGATTATTTTACAAATAAATCATCTTATGAAAATAGCTGAGACACCTCAAAAAGAGTAGTAACATCGTAACGAGACGAGACGGAATAAGAATCGTGTCGGTGACTAACCATATTTATTTTGTGTCTCTCAGCGTCAGGCTTGCGGGTGGGACATGTTATTTACGCGAAACGTGTGGCACGTCCTAAAAATAATGCTTCTTTGTAGCGGCACCTCTTTGTATACAATCTGATGATCCCAACAGAATCGCGTGGTGAACGGTGGATTATGTCGAAGCTCGAAGTGTGAATAATAATCAAATCGTGGCGGCCACGAGGATCAGCAACGAATTTGTCGCTACCTACACATCACCTTGCGAACTTCACCACAGAACTATTTCCTGACTGTGCAGAGACCTCTTTTTTGACTAAGATTTTTTAGATACAATTATCATGGTAAAGTAACGAGTAAAAGACCAATTTAAAAAAATGATGTCATGTGAACTGGGAAAAAAACAAAGTTCGAATATTTTCTAAACGTACATGTGTCTAGAAAATATTCTCTTTTCTCTGGTCATTTCTCGATCATACATGATTAATACTAATTTGAAAATTAAAAAAAATTAATACAATTTTAAAAAATTTACTAACTTAATAAAAAATATAAATGCAAAATAAAAATTTTAAAAATCAAACAAGATTGCCGAGTCGCTTACGCGACATTGATCTTATTTGAAACATAGTGTTACATGAAAGAGGAACTCCATTGATGTTTTTTTAGCGTTTTGCGCGTGCTGTCGATTGTTTGCGATCAATCTGCGACAACGCTTGATGATTTTGAAACGTGGCATGACATTGCGCAAATAATGTGACGCAGAGCACGATGCATGCGTCGTGCTATTTGTTTTTTTACAAACTTTTTATCTTTAAATCTTTCTAAATCACACAGTATTATGATTATAATACGGATTCGTTATCCTTTATTTGAAAGCTCGCTAAAATTTTTAATGTTTCCGAATGTACGCGGTGTATAGAATACTAGATAAATAAAGGATAGCGAATCATCGGTCTGAAAATAGCTGAATTGTTGAACAGTTAATACCTAATGTTCACAGCAGGTGTTAGGTTAGGTTATCAGGTCGGTTCATCACACGCAACACTCGATGACAATGAGCGAGAACGCGTGAGCGAAATGGAAGTAGCAAGAAAGAGATGCACTATATCTTTCCCTTCGACGTAACATTATGCATCATTGAAGCAGCGTGAATCCCGTAAATCGCTCGTGTTACAACGTTCGATTACACGCTGTTATTGATGTAACTTCACTTACATTTTTTCGATCGTTGCCCTACAATGTGTTTCATCAGAAATAGGATGGCATCATCGTGTTGACAAAATGATGGTTGCACGTTTTGTTAACGATCACTCGTACACGGGTTACCGTACATTCCACAATATTCCATACAGTCCCACTCGTGTCTGTTATGTATATGTAATGTTCGACTCGCGCGCGACTCTTGACAGTCACGTCTCCCAGTATTACATTCCTTAGTAGTAGTGTAGTAGTAGCGCTCTCTTTCGAAGTTCTTTTCGTTTACTTCATTTCAGTTAATCTGAATTTAACAAATTTGAACAGTTATTTAATTTGATTTTATAATTCCTATATTTTTTATATATGTATATGCATTATATTACATATTTTTGCAGCACATCGTAAAAGAATAATTATATGCAACATTTTTATGTACTGAGGATAAAATCTAGATTATATCTAAATTGACAATATGATGAATATATATTTTGAGTAAAAACAAATACTTATATATATATATATTTATATGTACATATTTCCTCATCAACACTTTTTACATAAAAACTTAGAAATAAGCAAGAAATTTACCTTTCATTTTTTTTATAACCTGTGATGCATCATTGATTATCTACTAGCCGTACAACACTAATTAAACTTTTGATCATCACCACGACCGAGCATATAACTAATACAAATGTTATCATTAATCAATTTCGTTGATTGTTTCGCTTATTGTTTCACTGATAACATTATAAAAGAAAATTAGGTTCAGTGCTGCTATGACTCAATAACCGTAAGATGTAGTCCAATACACTATAAGAGAGAAAAGTATTAAAGAACAAATCACAAACAAAGAAATAAAATAGATATATGAAGAAACCAATACAAGCAATTAAGTCATATCGTTTCGTTCTTCGTATAAATAGATTCTAGACAATTCTGTTCTAGACGATTCTGCATAGACAATTGCTTTATAAATTTTAATCTTTAGTTTTATTTTTCAAATCTACACACTGTCAAGTGTGACAGTGACTGAACTAGAGACATTAGAGACTTGACGGTGTGTAGATTTCAAATCTGACACTGCGGTCAAAGGACAATTACTAAACGCGGCCAGTGTTTTGAGTTGTCAACATTCTCAACGTTGATTTGTTGGTTCCAAAAATAAGAACCAATCACGATCGATTGTTCACAAAACTTGTTCTGCTAGACGCAGCTACTTGAGAGACGCGATTACAAGCACATTTTACGTGCACGAGCGCCATGAAACTGCATGAAACTACATGCACCAACTCAAGCGATGAGTGAAAATACTATCTTACCGATTGATTTGGTTTAGTTCCGTGCTCTGCGCACGCGCGCTCTGCCGCGTCGTCGATTCGATACTTCGATTATCGAAATCCGCGCACTTCAATATACTCGGAATTGGCGGGCAGTCATGACGGACGCGCGACGCGTAACAGAGATACATGCAAATTAATCCGGCATTTCTTGCGATTAATATCGTTTCGCGCTCAAATATCTGTGATACGCGTGTTTGGCATAGTATCCGGTGTTCGCGATAACACGTAATTAACATCGCGCGACCCGCTGGTAACGTTAATCGTCGAGTTTACAATGAAATAGTATCGCGCCGCGCGTGAGACACAAAATGGCCGGCGCGCGACACGGAAAACAAGTACGTTCGATTTGTCTCGTTAGTTTTTGCGATTATTATCATCTCGCGGCCAAATATTCGGTAGTATGTGTGTGTCGTAATGTATCGGACGTTCGGACATAATTAGCATCGCGTTACTTGTTAGCACGGCTAATCGTTGAACAAAATAGATTCGCGTTTTTGCGCGCGAAACAGAATAATAGGACCAGCGCCGCAACAAAGAAAACAAGATTGTAGCAAACAGCATCAGATCTCCAGACAATCGTGCAACATTATTACGGAGCTGTAAGTAGTACTTGCTAAGAAATATTTAAATATATATATTTGTAGCTTGCTTTTTTAATAATGTTCTTATATTTGTTATTCCAGATGCAAATTTTTTCACGAAGATGTTTGCAGTACCGAACGAGACAATACCAGTTCAGACAATCAAATGCTGGCACGAGGGTATGTTTTATGGCCATTTTATCGTTGATGTGTGATTTTTGAATATGAAAACTATTTTAAAACTATTAAATTTATTTTCTTAGACAATTATAATACAATTGATGTTTACAAATCAATTTTTTTCTCTTACAATAAGAAAAAAATTTTATTCTTGTTACAGAATGTGATATTACAGCAGAAAGTGCTGCCAACGCTCGGTATGTACCTATACTTTAAGGTTTTGGTGATTATGTGAAATCAGTGCGAACCGGGTGTAGATTTTTATTTTTACTAATTATAAGACATACATAAATTTCAATTTAAAAATAACCGAGGCGCTCGTATCGTTATAAAAAATATTTTTTGTTTAAGTGTGTGTAAACAATGTTTTTTATTAAGTATTATTTGCGTTTTACCAAGTTTTTATACTGTTATATTTTAAAACAATTCGATAGTGATTACAAATGTAAACTTTAGAAAAGTGTAGATCTTGGACTTAATAAAATTACAATTTTACGAGCGTGTTATGCGTGTTTTCCGCGTCGCGAGTGAAAAAAATGCTCTCGTACATATATCTACGACCACGTGGGACGACTGCTGGGTTACTTCCACAGGAAACCGAGAGGAAGGTTGCTGAGGAAGATACATCGATGGACAACGACGGGACCGGCATAAATATGAGTCACAAAATCATTTTACTCTTGTTCCTTTTAGCTACAACTTTTTAATCTATCTTATAAATGTCATATATATTTTTATTGTATAATTAACAAGTTAATTTATAAACTTATGTTTTTACTAATTTCTTTCCCGAGATATCATTACTTTTATTAATACTAGAACTACTGAAGCAGTCAAAATGACTAGTGGTAACTTTTCATTAAAAAATTACTCAAATTGGCTTTGCTCAATTAATGGCTCAATTAATGGCTTTACATTTTAAAAATTTTTAAAGACAAATTGATAAACTTAATTCTTTATATATTGCAAAAAAAGTCATAAAAAATTTATGAAATGCAATATCATAAATTTGAGTAAGTTTTAAATAAAAATCTAAAACCAGTCATTTTGACTGGCCAGTAGTTCTAGTGTTAATACTGCTAAATTTACATTAAAAAAAATTCATACATATAATTTATATGAAGATGTGTGTATGCACTCATGTAGCTAAAAGGACCAACTTATGTATTGCATGCGTAGTCCGCCTATGTGAATCGCACTGATTTCTGATAACGTTAATGAGAACAATCATATATTGTGGAATGAGAAAGAGAGAGATAGAGAGGGAGAGGAATTGAGAAGTACCAAGAGAATAAAGAAAACCTTATAAAACAAAGTTTATTTCGAAAATACGATTTATTGACCTGTCGGACCTAAATTCTGTGACGCGTGCGCTTCACACGCATTTACACGCGCATACTTTTGCTGTCTCGCACGCGCTCTTCTTTGCATATATTCTTCACACACACGCGATATATAAAATCTAAAAGAACGCTATACTTAAACACCGTGACTCATAGGTTTGTCCAGTTAAACGTTACGCTATCCTAGAAATCGTGTTTAATTACTATGTCGATACGAGTTGCTCGATCGTGCGCGATCGTCACTGATGCCGTTTATGTTACAACGATTATACAGAACTCTGCAGGACACCGTGAAAGAGAGAGAGAGAGAGAGAGAGAGAGAGAGAGAGAGAGAGAGAGAGAGAGAGAGA